ATTTCAACTCCCAGAATATAATTAAGATGTAATGTAATTTTAGGTTAGTTGAGTATTATGCTAACATAATAAAATATGTAATAATATTGAATATCTTTATCATTTTCATCTTGTACTCTCTCATCTTTCCTCATCATTTAGATCTGGTTATTGTATTTATTCTTAAAAGTAGTTGATAATCATACTCTACAATTAATCATCATTGGAATATCAAAAACGCTATGATAACTCTTAAATCAATATTGTAAGGTTCTGTAAATTTACTATTTATTCATATTGCTTCAGATCATTTACAAAAGTTATTAGACTATGAGTATTGGAAGCATTGATTATCAATTTTGCTGTACTATTTTCTGTTTCATATTTTGCTTAAGCAAAACAAATCAATTGAATCATTGTTTTCAGATACTGATTTCCTCCAAATATACCACATCCCCATCGTCCTGTTGAAATATCATTATTCGGTTAGTATTTTAAAGCTAATGAGAATCCTGAGTAACATTTCCGTATTTCTCTGTCTAAATTTTGTTTCTTAAACTATGCTATATTTCTACTAAATGGTTTTGCATCAATAGCCTAAGTATTAATAATAATTACAAGCATATTAAAGAAATTCTTTTCTAAATCTTCTTATTCTTTGCAGATGAAAGATTACTCATATCCAGAATATTTAGAGAACTTCTTTAGATTAGTGATTAAAACAGCTTCATTATCTTTCATAGGTGGAATAAATATCATAGTTACTAGAGCTTCTGGAAAAATAAGCATAAGAATCTAAAATAAAATAATAATTGTCTACTTCCTCCTAAGCACAATTATAACTATCTAATGTTAACCCTCCGATGTTCTGATCTGCAAAGTCAACAACAGTTGAATTCTTTTAATCTTCATTTCGTTGATTGGTTACATTAATAGATATATTTAATTTGCTCTTTTAGTCACCTTCATTAAATGAAAATTCAACTTCTTGTATATTTTTTATGAATTTAACAACTTAATTTTTAAATTGCACTTTTTCATTATTATCAAATGAACTCTCTAAAAGATTGTCTTTATTCCTATAGAATAAACGTAAGTAATTCTCTATGCATCGCATCTTTTGAGTACAAAGTCTAATTTAAGTTCTTTTTAAATTTTCCATATTTATTATATAAAATCCTCCAAACTATTGTTTTCTATTTATTTAATTAAGGAACATTAATATAATCAAAGTGAAGATTTCTTCTCTTTTAAGTTCTACCATAAAATTCTAATTCCACTGATTATTAATTCTGTTTAATAGTTACTTTAATTTAGTTTTATCGTTTAAAATATCATTTCTAAGATAATTACAAAACCCACTATCTTATTTGTTAATTTAAATAAATGTCTCCTCTTTGTCAACTAGATTTTGATATTCTTGGTCATTCAGTTGCATCTCAACTAAATGACATTCAAAGTCTTGATCTCCTTGAATCATTTTATTACTATTTTATTATTCAATATTTAATATATATATAATTATTCATTACTATTATGAATTAATACTATCATTTAGGAAGAGTCCTTTGTTAACAATAAAATCTCAATTTCTAAATGAAAGTCCTCCACAAACTTTGCACTTTATTCTAATTACTCAACCATATCTAATAATGTGTTTAAAAATTTATAAGATTACTAGATTTATTTACAAAATCACTTTGCAAAGCATACGAATACTATAACCATTATAGAGATGGAATCAATTTCTTTAACTGTTAACAATATATTGTTAATATTCCTTAGGGAAATTGCAGCACCATTAGATTAATAAAATATTGTACTATAGAATGCTTTTTTAGTTAATTTGTTTTTATGGAAGATCAAAAAAGATCTAAATTTGATGTCTTAAGATTAAAGAGACTGAAGTGAGTTTCTTTTAAATATATTCACCATCAGAATTTAATAATTCTAAGGATTAAATAATATTACCCTATAAAATATTATGTATAATTTACATTGTATTTAGTACATATCATTTATTAAAAGACACCAAGTTAGCAGTCCAAACTGTTATAACAAATTTATGGCTTTAATTGTTGGTTTTTATATTTAAACATATTCTAATTCTTATCGAAGTTAGGAAACGTGTTTGAGACTCAATTTTATTATATTATATTTAAGTGAAAGAAGAATCCCTACACTAATAATCAGTTTTTTTCGATGTTTTTTCAAAATACCCTAAGTTTTTCTAGTGAAAAGTACATCGAAAGCTTAATTTATATACCCTTTTTGAAATTGCCTTACTTTTAAGTTACGAAAAACAATTTAAGAACAAGCATTTTAGAAACTTAATACATATTACGAAACTATAGTAAACTATTCATTTTTGTAATAATAATAAAAGTGAATATGCAAATACTAATATTGTAATCTGTAATACAGGGTAAATTAAAATCGGATTTTATTGAGTATTATTCGATTTATAAAGATACTAAAACAAATTTTTCTTATAATTTTGAGCTCAATCAATATATCAGAAAAAGTTAAGAAAGTAATTCAGAAAACTAATATAAATGCTGAATGACTTTTCAATTTTAAGTGAATTCATAATCTAGGATCATAGCAGCATAGGTTTGGTTTAGGTTTTACTTAAACTTTAAAAAATGGCTTAAGGTAAACTTTTGCTCTTCTCTATATTTTGGGATATAAGCTATGATTCTCATTTCACTTGAATAATAGAATTGTAGAAAATCTCCAAGATTCTAGTGGGATATCCTGAAACACTCCACGAAATTCTTATTGAAATAATTTGCAAATATTGTAATCAATACTTAAAGTTATAAATTATTAGGCTTCACCTTAGTAATTATATTATAGATTATTAGTTTAGAGATTATAATTACTATCAGTTCGAAGAATTAAAGTATTATATATATATTTAATTATTTGATTTCGGATTTTAAGCAGATTGTGAATTATCATCTATTCTATATCATGAGTACTCTTAAATATTAGTAGTTAAATCAATTGATTTCTATTAAATCAATAAAGATTTAAATTCAAAGTATGCACTGTTTAATCAATAAAATTTATAATAAAAAAGTTATTTAATTATTTTTCTACAAAAATATTAAAATATGTTGTTAATTATCATCGTCTTTGGAGTTTAGATATTTTAGATAAATTCAAATCCATGCGAAATTTAGCAAATACAACCCATAATAACATGTTACTAAGTGGTTTAAGATTGTTTTATATTAGAAGGAAATGAGGAAGATTATTACAATTTAAAGCATATTGATAATAAAATTGTATAAAAACTATTTACTATTTCTTCCGAAGTTGTTCCAATTTAAACAAGAATATTTAAATCCTTAGGTAAAGAGGTGACTTTGAAGAAACTAATTTGTTAATTGTTTCTAGAACTTAACTATTATATAACATGTATCAAAATTGATAAATTAAATTATGAAAAGTAAGAAAACAATTAAGAAAGCATAAAGATAAAAACAAATATTACTGATGAAGACTCCTGTGATGAAATTTATTAACTAGATAATGGTAACCTATTATTATTTTGCATGACCCAATTTACTTTAAAACAATATTAAGTAAGTCTATTAGGCGATGTGACTCTGATATTTGAGTATGATGTTTCTATTTAAATACAGGATAAATGCAAAAAGAAACAATTCAAGCTCTTTGATAAAAATTAATTTATAATTGCATTTGTTAATTGTTTGGAATGGAAGCTTTTCGAAATAAATAATGATTAACTAAAAATAATAATGGAATCTAAAACGAATAATTACATTCGAACTCTTGGGATATTTACTAAAATAGATCATGTACAAATTTGCTTAACAAATTCATTGACTCTTTATCTTGTTGAGGCAAATAATTATATTTAAGTTATTTGGGAGTCTGACTAAGCAATTCTTAATAACATATAGAAAAGTGAAAATCAAATATTGAAAATAATACTTTCTAAAAATTGTTAAAATGTTCTTCTCATAACTTATAAAAATGAGACAAATTTATAACCGGTTTAGATCATAAACAAAGAAATAATCTTAGATAATTCTTTTAATACTGATTAAATTCATTTTTTTTCTGGTTTTCTCTTTTTACAAAATTAAAATGAATTAAATATAAGGATTGATGAACATCTATATCAAAAATATAATATTTTAAATTCATCACTATTTTTTTTAGAATAAGATAACATGTTTTATTAAATAGATAAGTTCAAAGTATAGGCATAATTCTATAGATATTTTCCAATAAGTAGTTATGTAAAACCTAAATAAAAATTTGTATATTTACTTAAGAGACTTGAAAAACACGGCCAATAAGAATTATTAAAGTGTTTCAAAATTCAACATGAAAATCAGCTGCAATAGAATAATTTAGTCTAGTATTCACTCTTAATTAAAAAGAATTGCTAATATTAATAATAAGCAAAACTTAATATTCAATCATTTACCCAATTTCAATAACAAGAGTTTGAATTTTATAATAATAAGACTGGAAATGTTAAAATGAGTATCAAATATAAAGAAAAACTAGAGAACTAATGTTATTAACGAATAAAACGATATAAATTTAAAAGTAAGATTACTTTATTATCCATTAAAAATAAAAATTTTATAGTCTTTCAAGTTGAAAATAATTAATATTTCCTTAATTGTTAAAAAAACCAAATTTAATTGAGTGTAAATATAAAATAATTTGAAGTACTAGAATATCTAGAAGATTATTATATTATTGATATAAATAAAATGAAGATCGAAATGATCTAACTTATTTCAGGATAAATAATCTTAAGTTAAATACCTTCTTATATGGAAATGATAACAATTTAATAAACCTCTGAATAAATTATTCTATATGTTAAGGGTTCAGAATATCCTTTATTAATATATTTAGATTAGTTTTCATAAAATCGTCTCAATTACCTCTCATAATATCTTTACTAACCAAAATTAATTTTATATTATTAAGAATTAGGGTCTAATAAATTTATTCAATATGAAAATATTTTTGCCTATGAATTGAAAGGAGAAGTTAAATGCTTTTAATTATCAGGAGTCTAAATTATTACAATTAAAAGTTGGTTAAAAACTTACTTTTTACTCTGGGCAGTACAAAATCAAACGAACTCAATAATTTTATATCATTTAGATGAATATGAATTACATCTATTTAGCAATTATACTCTATAAGAATATTAATTCTCAAATCCTTTAAAGTACAAGTTTAGTTCTTTGAAATTAGCAATTTTAATTGAAAACAAGCAATCTCTTTTTATAGCTACTTACTCTATCACTACCACAACAATCAAATTAATTAATATTATTTAAACAAATGATGTCTATTTTGAATTAATCAATAATACTTTATTATATTTGTATAATGAATAAATCTGGTACCATTATTTAAATGAAATAGTGTCGCTTATTTATATTAATGTTAGCAATCAATAAACATTGATCTAATCGTATCAGTTAACATTAAATCCAACTTACTAATTTGAAAATAGTATCAATTTAAGCATTTTAATTTTAAATGAATGTCATCTTTTATCTACTTAATCAAATTAAGTGTCTCTTCTAATATAAAATAATGAAAAATTGAAACTAAAAATTTCTGAAATTTTTTTAGGTCCAATACATAATGTAACAATTATTGATAATGATAAAATTAGATTATAGGGACCTTTGTAATTTATTAAACTATTTAAAGAGTGCGTTGATTCATTTATATTTTGTATTAAACAAAAGAATATTGTCTTTCTGAATAACAATAAGTAACTAATGTATCCATTTTCAGCAATTATTTTGGAAGACAAAATTTTTTGTTAAATTACATAACTATATACAGAAAATGTCCTGTATTAGGTATTTTGGATTTCAGAAAATTATTTTCTATGGATTTGTCAATTAAATGACTATTTGCATATTCATTTACTCTTGTGTATCTTAGAAGACCATTCAAATTGTAAGGAACTCTAGGTATAAATCATAAACTTTACAGTTGGTTTACCCTTTCATGAAAACGTTATTAAAACATAAAATTTGGTTAAATTATAGAATGCATAGTAATAGATCTATATATTTATTAAGAATTAAGATTTTAGTCTAATTCACCTTTCAAATAATTATGATTTGGATATCAAATACATTGAGTTATCAGTGGATTAATTTATTGGGTTAGAAAGGTTGGATCATAAATTAATTTTTGAAGTAGAAATAATGATTTACACAATCAAACTTAATGGAATTTACATCGAATTCTTTTATAATATCACAAAAATACTTTAAGATCTATTGCCTACAGGCGAGAGTAATCCTATAATAAGAAATATTGGATTAATTTAATGCAAATAGAATGTAACTATTATTACTGTTATTCTATTTATGAGCTATCATTATTAATCCTTTATGATATAACTCTAGATTAATATTTAGAACGGTTCTATTTGTTCTTTCCAGGTAAGAGAATAGATTAGGAATCCATTATTAGATTTTGATTTCAAGCCTGATTATATGGATGAGAACTATTTAATTTTGAAATAACTTAACTAAAATATTACTTATTATTATGATCTCCAAGAAGAAAGAGAATATTATGATACAATTTATCGTAAAAATTCTCACATAGAAACCTTAAAAGTAAATACTACGCATTTTATTTTTATAAACCAGTCTTAGGTTTATTGGGGAATAATAAATTACGAATTAGATATTCAAAATGTAGAAAATTCCTCTTTTAATTTTGTCTTATTTGCTTAAAATGAAGTATCTGATGCTCAAATTTCAATTCTTTTAATTCCCAAATCTCTGTATGACTCTAAGAAGTCCATCATAATTATTTTACTAATAAATCTAATTTTTATAACATTATAAATGAGATTATAATACTTTCGGAAAATTAAATAAAAGGAAATAAAGGATTTAAATAACTCAATGTCCTAAGAGTTGATTTTTTAAAATAATTTGATATATAAATAACTTCATGTGTAATTTAGCATTATCAACATAAATTCTTATTGGGTATTTTGGAATTATAAATTCTAATCAATTAATATATATCGTAATACTGATATTGCATTTAGTTGATTTTATCCATTACATTTATTTATTCTTTTTTTTGGATTAAACTATTATTCATTTGTTAATGAATCTAGTTCTTGAAAAAAACTATTATAAATTTGATATTGAAATTTGTATAAAGCCAAGTAATTGATCTCATACCTAAGTATGATACTACTTTTAAGTAATTATTTTATCTGCAAAATACAAAACCTTTTGCATCTATTCGCATCAATATTTTTAAATTTCCAATAAATTATTCTCTGATTTCTTAAATTATTTTACATCTTTAAATTATAAAATTACATATTACATCATTTATTGGTATTTCATTATAAAATAGAATTGAATAAATGATTGTTCAATTATTATATAAAATGATTTAGATCGATCGATTTATATTATATTAATATTTTCAGATGTTTTGTTAAATTTCTTGATGTATAGATGATAGAAATGAGAAATCCCAATTAGTTTTATTTCTCCTTTAAAATAACATGATTGTATTTTACAACAGCAAAATTCATTCGTTTTCCTATCACATGGAAGTGAGTTATGAGTCACATTTTTTATTAACAAAATATTTTATGAATTCTGTCCTTAAATAGCAAATTTGAACAACATTTTTTATGAATATTTTTACTTTTTTAGCTTTTTAAGTGAATATTATTTTTTTTAATAGGATAGTAAAAATTATGAGGAAAATTCTTGTTTTTAAATTCTATAAAACATTCTAGAACTTTCTATAAATTGTATTAAAAATTATGGCTCACCATTCGTTACATTTAATAAATAATTTTAAGCATGTTACAATAAGAGTGTTGTGCTTCTATTTAAATAAAAAATAAGCCATATAAATATGAACTTATTTCAGAACATGGAATTCATTAAAAGCAATTATGCTATGCCATAGCTATTAATGATAGTAATACACTCTTGACTTGTTCGGCATATAAAAATATTAAAATACTCTAATTCAAAAATGGCTAAGTGAAATAAATCCAAGAGATATATAAACATAAAGATTGGATAACAACCCTTAATTTTTTCAAGAAAAGACCAAACTTTGTTTCTGGTTCTTAAGATGCATCTATCATTATTTGGTTCTCCATTCTTATGCCAAGTCCAAAGTACATGATGAAGTTGAAGGGACATTCCAAATTCATAAGTTGTCTTGTATTGGATCACATAAAAGAAAACCTACTTATTAGTGGATCAGGAGATGGCACAATCAAATTCTGGTCTACATTTGCACTTGCCACTTCTGAATGGTCTTGTTCTCAAACAATAAATTAGAATTCAAGTACAATTTATGAGTGCTCACTTAGGGAAGATGGCAATCAATTGGTTACTTGTTTTTAGGATTGTAAGATATTAATAATCGATAAATAACATAATTAATAATAATGGGAAGTTAAATAGGTAATCTAATTGAATCGGAGAGGTTATAGATTGTAATTTATAAACAATCAAAGCTTTGTTTTTGTACCTTACTCTTCTAACGATCTTCGGATATACAACCTTTAAATGTAATCTAATTAAGAACTCTACTTCAATACATAAAATATTCCAATTCATGGAGGTGAACAATCATGTATGTGTTTCTTTCCATCTAAATACAACAAATAGAAAAACGTATTAATAATAAAGAATGGCTACTACATAAATTGTTTAAGATTTTAATAATCCCCATATTCCACATAGCTCTTCGATTGTGATTAGACATATCAAATTGATTGTGGTGAGAAAAGTGAAGGAAATATTTTTGGGACATTAAGTAATGACGGAGAATTTTTAATATTTTGGGATTCAAATTCAAAGGAAATTAAAGTAAAAAAATACACAGAAAACATTTGAATTCATCATTGAATTTAATTTATTTAACACAATTATTTAATGTCCCTATTCTCAGAGTAAAATGATCTTCCTAGAATTTTTTAATAATAGACTTCACTTTTCATTATTTTTATTATACTCTCTATTTTTTCTCAGAGTATAATTTTGGTTAAATTCAAACTCTTTTTAAATGTATTAAAAACAATATTGTCATTATTGAAATAATATGCATATTTTTTTTAATATAAAGTTTAGTAAATGTTAAATTTTATGAACTTTATGAGATATATATTAAATTATTAAATATTAGTTATTATTAATCAATCACTTCTTGTGAACAATAAAAGTTCCAATCAACACTACTAGAGCCACACACATAAAGACAACAAATAAAATGGCCACAAACATAAAAAATAGAGTTACTTCTATGTAAATAAAGAGAGCTCCAGAAATATACTCATTCAAACCGAGGTTAAACTAAATAATATTGTTTAATACTTTTCCTCTTTATATCAATTATGTCTCAAATAATAGAAGACATGCATAGATTACATGGACAATTATACTAATCACTATCAACCAAGCCAATTCAACATAAGTTAAAATAAAAATAAGTATAACGAACAGATCTAGTAAAAATGCCATCAACAATAAATCTAATATATGAATAATAATTACATGATCCATTTGCCGACTAAGAATCTTACAATTTATATGCAATAAGTGTTCCAAATGTACATAAAGTCATACAAAATTGATATAAGATTATTAACAAACTGCTTTCATTCCACCATAAACTATCTGCGTATGGTGCTTACAAGACACACCCTACTCCAAAGGAATATAACATAGATATAATTAGATTTATTGGCGGCTATATCATAATTTAAACTGCATTACATTTCTTGATTATTTGATAAAATAAGCTATCATTCCTAACATAATTGTAACCCCTAGGATAGCCCAATACAAAGGTTATGGGTAATCAAAAATTATTAAACTCCATCTGAACTGTTCACAGTAATAAAACATGATCACCATTAGATACTGGAAAATGAACAAGCCAGCCAAAAATGCATATAGCTTAACAATAAAGAACATTTGCTGATCATGAGTTGATAGTTCCTAAGTAGCAACACCATTGGATTCAGGAAAATATTAATACCAACCTAATGTTTTAGAAGTTTGATTAAATATTCCTTATTGGCTTATTTCTTACTGTGTAACTACAATTGGTATATTTGTAGATTATGCTTAGTCGAAATTTGACATTTTATAGATTTCTTTTTTATTTTAAAATTAATGAAATATTTATATGGATTATTGAATATTTATATTAGGGAAAGATACTTAATTTTTCTTTCTAAATAAAGAATGATTACTTATACATTTTTATCCTTAATTATGAAGTTAGCTTGGTATTTGATTAAGAATTAAAGATGATTGAAAAATATGGAATAACAAAAACATATTTTGAAAATTTAAGAGACTTTTTCAAATTCATTATGATAATTAGATTTTCTTTATTTAGTGAACATTCCCTTAACAGAGTTTGTTTATTAGCATTATTTTCTAAACCTCCTTTAATTATGACGAACTATTTAATATTAATTAATTTATTTTTAAATCTAATAAATTTAATTATGCTTTCAGTTATTATTATTACAGTGTTACAAATATATATATATAATGTAAAAGAAGTAGAAGTTGAGGATGAATTATTTTTCTTGATAACCTATACATTAAAAGTATGGGTTTAGGGATGATTCAATTGAAAAGAAAAATCAAGCATAATTGTAGGAATTTCAGAATCTAATTGGAAATATATTAAGAAAGTTAACTTAAAATCATCAAAGGGAAGAGTGTTTTAAATAGTCGATAGTAATTTCAATTAATTATTAACTGAATATCAATTTACACTATTTTAATGTTTATGCATTTTGTAAATACATATTAAAATTTAGGATGCCAAGAAAAATATTGCAATAAATAATATATTTTTTGTCTATTAAACTTATGATGAATTTTCGATCTTTTCTTCTTGAATCCAAATTTAAAATAAAACTCATCTTTACTCCTTAATGCAATTACATTAAGAAATGGTCTCATATTCTTATTTATATTGAATATCTTATTTTATATATATATCCAATAATTATTGTATGAGAAATAAGTTAAAAAATTAAAATAAGAAATATAAATTAATAACATAAAGGGAGGTAAATTATTATTAAAGTTTATGATAAATGAATAGGATTGAATAAAATAATTTATAAAAAATATTGAAAGAAGTTTCTGATAAAGTTATTAGATTTTATTATATTCATTATGTATCTACATTATCAACAAATTCATTATTATTATTCTAATTTTTGGTCTGTGTGATGCTTCCAGAATCATGGATAATTTCAATCCAGGTGCACCAAGCCTTATGCTTTTGAATGGGATATCACCACTAGGATTATTTTGGATGATCTGATAATGCTGCTTCTTGAATGATGGAAGGTTTTAGCACCACAATTAAAAAGATATATAATTAGGAATTAAAAAGTTTTTATTAACATATATTCTGAAAATTAAGGCCTATTTTATTTATCAGTATTGGAGTGCAAAAGAAATTAAGGAGGAATTGGAAAAGCTATATTAATGATTGATAACAAGATTAAAATTAATAAAAGTAGCATAATTAATATAAATTTTAAGATTCATTCTATATTATCTAAAAATATATATGAAAATACAATGGATACATCTCTTTTTATATTCCTTCAATTGTCTAATTAACTTAGGAATTAAAAATAAATTTCTTTATTAAAATACTTAAACATTGAATTTAATAATCGATTATAAAATAGTAAGGTTATATAATTTTCCTCTAAATATAAATTTTTACAAAATTGATATTATACCTAAAATTGGAGATTATGCGAACATCAACATTTTTTTAAAGAATTATTTGAATATTTTAATAGATAGATTTAAGATATAACTCTTTTAATCTATTCTTAAGTCTACAATTTAATTGAATCAAAAGTCATTACTCAAAAGTTACATAATATTATTGATTCTGATTTATATGAATTGATTTTAATAATATAAATCAAAATTATAATCATTTTAGTTGTTATTCTTCCTCTTTGTTCCTAAAATATTATACAACATTTGATTAAATTAAATGTGTTATTTTAAAATTAGATTTCTGCTACTATAGCTTATTTGATGACCTGCAAAAATGGTCATTCCAGTTGATTTTTTATTTGGTTAAGACTAAATTGAATTAAGCATAATACAATAGTAATTAAAGGTTGGACAACGATGGTTTTAAGTTGTTCTTCTAATGAGTTTTTCTTCTTATTAAGGTGTTATCTTATCAGTATTTTCCTCATCATCAGGATTTGGCTGTTTTGGTAGTTGACCGTAAGTCTTTTACATACATTTATCAAAATCAGAAAGATCGTCAGATTCACGAAATTATGCTTTAATAATTTCACCCAATCTAATATAAATGAGAAAGGTTAGTGCATCTAATTTCTTAAATAGGGGTTGCAATCTTCGATCATCAATAGTCATTTAATCAATAGTTCTTACGAGTGATAATTTTTCAGCACATCTAGCCAAAGTTTCTAAAAATTCATAAAATTCCATTTAGAAATGTTTTAGCAGGTAAAGTTCATCAACAGAGGTCTGCATTGCTAGTAGATAAGCAAGATAAGCATCCCTTTCAACAAAAATATCACAATACAAATCGCATTTATTTAATAAATCCCTGAAATCTTTAAATTATAGCCATATATGTTTGTAATACTTTTGTTTGGCATTTAATTTAGATGTAAATTTGAAAAGCATTTTTAACATTGGTAATCTATCCTCTAATAGAAAATTTAACTATATTAATTACTTAATAAAATGTCACATTATTCATTCCAATATCTCATATCTCTCCAATCTTAACTGCGATCAATTTCTTATAGTTTTAATTTAATTCCATCCTCTTCAAACATTTTTCTCAAACTCTCTTTTATTGACTTGCAAATTTAGGTTCTCAGATATTTGTCAATAGCAATTCTAACTAATACTTCCATTAATTAATATCTCACTAAGGCCTTTTCATAAACATTTGGATAATTGATATCTTTAACATTTGATGTTGCAATAAAATTTAAATCAATATCTCCAGATCTAAATTTTTCAGATATGACTCCTGTGGCTGATAAAAAGTCCGAAAAGGCATTGGATGAAATACAAGGAATTGTTGCTCCAATCAGGGTCGATGCTAGAAATTTATATGCTGCAAAAATATAAGGATAATACTCTCTCATAATTTCCTTCACCTCATTATATTCAATTGGGTCCTTAATAATTTTATTAATTTTTGAACTTCCATAATCATATTCAAAACATTCATCAATTAATTCATCATTGTCTGGTTAATAGTTTTTAAAAATGGAGATTTCATAACTCCAAAATTTTTCTGTTTTGGTTAGAAATTAAGTCAAATCAAAGGTTTTTTCTTCTTCTCTAGGTTTACTAAAGATTTTTGCAAAGTATCTATCCATAATTGACTGTTTATCTTCAGTAAAAAGTTCATTAACGAACCCCATTTTGTTTCCTTCAATGAGAATATCTCCATTATATAAAAAGGATTGTTTTGTTGAATATAAAGCGTCTTCTTGAGGAGTTTATGTAATTAACTGATTTTTTGCAGTTGTTTAGATCCCAAGTACAGGATTGCTGAAAAAATATGTGACTCTGAAATTTGGAGGACACATTCTATAAGCAGAATATTCTCCATTATGAAGTGTCATTAAAACAGGTTTGTAAGTTTCAAAGTTCAAATGAACAAATATAGGATCATTATTCATTCCACCTGATTTACCAGGTGTCCAAGTAAATTTTACTTCTTACCAACCATCACATATCCAGCATGCATCCAATTCACTGTCAGTGTCATAGTTTTGTTTTATTGGCTTCATTCCTTAAATTCTTCGAAATCTAAAATTCCTATACAGTTCTGAATCAGTTTATAAATCTTTTATTCTTTTATGCTATTGCTATTAATGCTATTATTGTTCTTAAATTTATAATTCAGGATTTTGATTGTCATCTACTAATTTTAGAGTAGTTTGAGGATTTTTTTTGCATTCATCAATTTTTTTTTGGATATCTATAGCTTCTTGAATTCTATCTCTTAAATGTCCAGTAGAGTCAACTGCATATTTTGGGCAATTCCCCTAATAATGAAATCCATATATATTCTAATTTTAATCTAAGGCTTTTTTAATTTCAATAGACTGTTCCTCATTAAATCCATTATATGAAATATCAATATGCATCAGTTCTGGATACTATTTAATAATTACTTTGGCCATTTGTTAAGAACATTCTAAAGAGGCTGTTCTGTTATATGAAATATCAAAGACCTTGACGCTAGAATTTTTATACAATGCTTTCCAAATATTAACAGCTCCAACGCTATTTATTGAATTAAAATGAAGATATAATTCAAATAGAACCTGTGTTTTCTTGATATAGTTTGCTAGTTCAACACAACAATGTTCTGTTAAATTATTTTTGGATAAATTTAAGTATAATAAATAATCGTGATCCTGCACGGCCTAGCATAATGCGTTACTTCCAATATCGCCAATTCTATTGTTTTCCAAATTTACTTTCTTTATCTATGATTTTTAGATATATTTAGATAATAACTAACAAGACTTTGAATCTAATCCATTATTCATTAAATCTAATTCCTACAGATGTTATGGGAATGACTTTGTCAATTGTTGAATTCTAATAAAATATAATCAAGAGGGGTACTTCAATGAATTAAGTTTATTGTGATTCAACTTTAAATGTGTAATAGTCTTACATTACTGAGTTTTGAGAGCATCAGAAAATACTTTAACTTATTAAGGGGATCTAATTTGTGCTTACGCATTAGCAGCTTAGATGTGATTACATTATTAAACGAGTCCTAGACCACTCTAAAATATTTGCTATTAATGGGAGCTTTTGTTCAATTATATGTACAAATTAGGAGTTTATTTATAAAATTATGCATAATCCTCTAATTTATTAAATTGTTTCATAGTCTTTCTGTAATCTTCTTAGGATACTTTATTCAAATTCTTACTAAGGAAATAATATCTATTGATTACTTAGCCAATCGAAATTTCCTCATATATTTTCCTCTATCAGTAGTTAATTCTTAATTAATATCTCCCTTATATTCCAATTATTATATGTATAGCTGTTTTTGCTCTTCGTATTTTTGATTATTCTTGAGGTGAGATGGGTTTGATTTATGGTGATGATGCTGATGCTTTTTTATCATATTCATCCTTTAAGGACTATAATCTTGATATGAAAATTGTTTCATCGAATTCGTATGTGCTTCATCATTTTATCTTTCAATTTCTTGTTAATCATTCTCCATCATATCGTCATACAATTCTGGCTTAAAATTATCAATTAATTCTCTAATCATTTTCTCTTCCTCTTATTCATTTAATTTTTCAAGGATACTCTTTTGAGGAGGTTGTGGAGTTGATAATCTATTTATTACTTAAAATATTAAAACTTTTAACGTATAGGGATTTCTGTCATCCTTGTTACATTTTGATATCTTTCAAAAGTGAGAGGCATTTTAATTTTTTCAATTTCCAAATTGCATTAAACTTTAGGGGAAGTTGACAACCGATTAAAACTATTCAAAGTTGTTCTTTATGATTGAGATGTTGAAACTAAATTATTAACTCAAAATTTACGTACAAGTTCGTTTAACTTTTTCTTTCATTGGAGTATTTCTTTTCAATTCCTCCTCCTTCTTGAGTTCTTTCAATCTTTCCAATAGCTTTTCTTTTGTGTTGTATATTTTTAGTTTCTCAAACAACATGCTTTAATTGTTATATTTAATATAATTCATTTCATTAATGATTTCTATTCTCATACTAAATTTTGATATACATAGATCAATAACTAAAATAAAATAATGAGAATACCATAGTTCTCCAAACTAAAAGAAACCAAAAATCTCTAAACTCACTTATTTTATGGCATTCTTTTGGTATCATAATATAAACACTGTTGCTTACTAATTTTCTGATTTAATTACTACCGCAAATAAAAAACGGAAACCATCAATTTTCTAGATTTAATGGATTAGGAGACCTTTAATAAAGTATCTCTTATATGAAGCAAGACTTATTCTACAAATGTTATATTATCTTATGCCAATATTTATTCCATGAAAACTAATTCTATAGTTTTAGCGCAAACATATTTTTTAGAAGCATCAAAATAATAGAAGGAGAATATATTCATTACATGTTGATAAAAACATTTGGCAAATTCTCAGCTAATTATTGAATATAAGGAGCATATTTAATAAAACAGCAGAAAAGAAAAGGTTGTTTAAAATTAAGTAGCACATTATGGATAACTTTACTCAAAGCAAATTTTTATAATCAACAACTAAAAGATATTTTATAATTTAGGAATTATTCTAAAATAGCACTTCTTTTGCAATTAGTTTATATGGAGTCTTCTAAGGAAAAGATACAGTTTATATTAATAGTTCATTTGTGGTTGCATATGGAGATGCATTTTAAATTTTTAATGATATTTTAGTCTACATCTCCAACTCTGAATATAAATTAAATTTTTAGGAAGACATTGTAAACCATTTCACTTCACCAATACAAACAAAAGGTATTAAAACATTATCAAACATCAATTCATTATTTGATTTATATTTTTCCTTAAATTCAATGTTATCCTCAGAATTAAATGATAATTATTTATTCATTATATAGTATATAATTAAATTACCATCTAATTTAGAACAGCTATTTCAATATTATTAATTTGGATTAACCCTAAATTAATAAGAAATAAGACTTTAAATGTACAATTTGATTAAAAATTTTAATATCATATTTTACTAATAATGATGAGTAGACAACACCATCCTATTAATTCTAAATGTGATGATAAACAAGGCTCTTTGTATAGTTATCTCAAGTCATATAAACCTATTGTTTTTAAATAATATAGAGACAATACACCTAGATCTACATACAAATAAGATGTGCACAACCTAATCAAGATTAATAAAAACAGAAGAAGAAGTTGCTATTGTTCAGAATGTGGAACTTAAAGTTAATTTTAATATAAAACACATCATATTCCATTTCACAGAGAGAAAGTAAGACCAATATTCAAAAAACAATAAATTGCTATTTCTTAAACTCAATCTTCTTTAAATGCTGACGAATTCTCTCCTCAATTTGAAGATTCGCCACTTCTGAAGAAATCATCAGTCTTATCATCTCGAAGACAAAGTAGATTTGCACATCACTGTAGATTTCGTTAGAGCATAATATTAGCTAATTCTGAAGAAAAGTTATAATTGATTGCTGAATAAAAATAAAAAAAGTCCTCGTTTTTTAATTTAGATTAATTGAATACTTTCAAAATATCATCTAAACCTTAGAGTCCAATTCGTAAATTGAGTCAACCACCAAAACCGCTATTAGAAAATTATTCTTTAAAATCGTTAACGCAAAGATCTCCAATTAATAGGGAAGCTATCATAGCTCAAAATAAAAAATACTAGAATGTCTATTTGATTCCTTTATTCAAAAAAAATTAGACTAAAAGTGAAAAGTAATAAATATGGATAAAAGCAAACACATCTCCAAGGAAAAGACATTGCATAAGTTAAATTTGATTATTGATTCAATATGATATAACAATTAACTATAATTTCCAAGATTCACTTCTATCAAATTATTTCTATTTGATAATATTGCGTATTAATTTACTTTTAGTATTATTAATATTAGAGATTATTTAATATGAAATTGTACATGATGCAATTTAGAATTCTAAATAAAATGGATAAAATTAATATGACAAAAATAATTGGGTATTTGTATATATAATAATAACCAATTACATAAACATTTTATCATTTTTAGAATACAATGAAGTCTCTATGTTTTTCAACATGTTGAAGTAGCTCTTCTATGTCTGCATTGGGTATTTCCATATCTAAAGCAATATTTTTGAGATGTGTTTTAAATTTATCAAATTACTAGTTGGTGATATTGAGATTTTTGTGGACTTCGATTAAATCTCTATTGTTATTTAAACAAATAAAATACCTTCCAGTATATTAGGTATTGGAATCGCCCATCATCTAAGCGAAAAATCGCTTTTATTGATATCTAACTCTACTCATATCTGCCTTCAAAAATTTGTCACGAAGTAGCTTATCAAACAATACTTTATAATAGAATTGATCAATGAGTTCCGAAACTTGTTAGTCTCCTCCAAATTTTTCAAAAAGGCACTTCTTTTAATTATCCATTATTAAATTTTATTATGAAATATTCACTAATAAACAATCAGCTTTAAATAGCCATTATGATATTAGAGTTACCAATATCAATTGTAATTATCTTTAGTAAAATTTAGAGCAAAAATATAATACTTATAGAGTTATTTATCTAATAATCAACAAAGTAATCAAAGATCTTAAAATTACTAAGCCAGTTACTGATACTAGAAACTTTATAAGATTTTATATTAAAATAAGTATGAAGAAATACTGAATTACATAAGGTTTTGAATATCAATATATAGAAATCTATAATATTGATATAATGGAGGGGGATCTTGGCAAGCATCTTCACCAACTTACGAATAATAATTAGAGGTACGATTTCAAACCTTATTATGATATAAATAAGTTTAGAATAATTATATTAAATAAAACTACCTTTTTTCTTTATTAAAATAAAAGATGTATTTTTTAGAATAGCTCTACTGATATCTAATCAAATACAAATTTATATATGAATTTATTGTTCCTCAATAACATACAACAAATATCAAGAATAATAGTCATTTTGAGTTTATATTTATGTTAATTGTTTGCTGTATTAATATTTTTGTATTTTTATCAGGTGTTATCTATTTTGAAAGAAATGTTATTCGTATTAAAATATCAAATTAAGAAAAAGGAAAGAAAATATAGGTTGGAGTATCATTAGAGATACTTTTTCTAATATTTTGTTTTCATTTCTATTTTGGATTAAATTCATATTTGATTTATAAAAGATGCTTTGATTTATATTCTAATAACAAAGATATTTTCCAACCAATTCTCTAGAACTAATCTTAACATAATACACATTTTGATTAAATATTAGCAGCATTTCAATCATAAGCTTTAACCTAATATTCATCCTTTATTTTAGGTTTCTTAAGATGTCTTAGCTTAATTAATTTGGATTGCTTTAATATCGTAAGGAATATCCTATGACTTTTTTATTATGATAAAAAAATGATTAAATAATTATTAATTAATTAAGAATGCGTGGACCACGTTCGTCGAGTCCTTGTCCTACAAAGTAATAAGTTGAGAAATTAAAACTATTATAAACAGCGATTAAGAAAAGGACCACTAAACCAGATTTTATAACCACTTACAGAATTCATATTATATTATCAAGTAAGAAATTCTTCAAAGTTAATAGTTGTGATTGGATTTGTTATCATTTCTTTTTTATCGTTTACTAAATAAACAAAAGAATACATCATAATTAATGAATCTGAAATAAAGTCTCATAATTCCTAAGGCCATTCATACACATTAGGCCCAAATGCTTTTTTCTATGTTTAATTATTATTTACAATAGAATATCACATTAATGTAAGCAAAAACCTTATTTAAAAACGATTTCACGTAACAAATAAATGTAGAGAAATGCAAATTGTCGTTTATGGATGAAACTCCTGTATATTACAACTTCAAAGAAGCATATCCATAATGCAATCACCAAGTTTACAATTAGGGAAATTGTTCATCTTCTTATTCTATCGCTGTTTCTTCTTCATTCTCAGACAGAGTTTGCAAATAAAATTAAACTTAATAATTATCTGCTCAAAATTTATTGTCATGCGATGGTAAATTAAACTTGGGGTGCAAAGGAGGACATTTAACAAAATCAGCTGATTATATTATAAAGCATGGATTAACAACAAATGAATGTCATCCTTTTAAAGGAGATGATACATTTAAAGAGTGTACTAATGCCCTTGGACATTGTTAGAGATATAAAGCAGAGTCATATTGCTAGTTATAGAATAAAGACGTATTAATGTTTATATACTAGGATATCAAAAGAGATATCCTAAATAAAGGACCAGTAGTTGCTATTATCCCAGTTTATAAAGACTTTTTAATCTATCGAGATGGAATTTATTAAGTTTTGGAAGGGTAGCCTCATTTTCATGGTGGCTAAGCAGTGAAAATTATAGGGTGGGGTGAATAAAATGGATAATAGTTTTGGGTTATTGAAAACACATGGGGAGATACTTGGGGAACGAATGGATTAGCTAAATTAGCAATTGATAGTTTTTCTGAAATGGCCTAATAAGCATTATCAATAAATTATTGATAGTATAGTAGTATTATAAGTTTATTAATATATTTGAAGTTAAAAATATTTAAAATATGAATAGAACACCATCTCACTCTTTGTATATGAGAAATTCACGCAATTCTTCTCATTCACCAATTCCTTAATAAAAATTTGTCACTCCTGAGAAACTTGTAAGAGTTAGCGGGAGTTCAGGAGTGAAGATAAATTCAATCTAAAAAAATGGAACCAGAATTAGAAGTGAAGTAGTCGAGACTGTAAACAAAGTTAAAGAATAATAAAAGTTACAAGAATACATTTAGGAACTCGAAAATAGTATTTATGAGTTTGATAAGTTAGTTTATATACCGAAGCATAATGAAGAACAAGAATAATTGGAGAAGAGAATATTAAAACTACTATAACGAAATCATGATTTTGAATTAGAAATGGAGTTAGTTAGATAAGAGAATGAGTAATTAAAATAATTACTAATTGAACAATAGACAAAAATAATTGAACAAAATTAAGAAATAATGACACTTAAGGTTCTGAAGGATGGATTTAAAAAATATAGTTTTAGTGATTACTTCAAATAATAAAATTAATGATATATATATTTTTGTTGATTATTTTTTTATAAGGAAACACAATTTTTTCATAAGAAAAATAATTTCGTTTCCAAATAATAACTTGCGTTGGTTTTGATAACCTCGCCAACTCTATACGCAGCAGTATGGGCGTTCTGAACACAAGCTGGTATTTTAACTGGTCCACACCAGTTTCTGTAATTGAAACATTGATAAAATGTGAATTTCCAAAATAAATCTTCATTCCATTTAGTTGAATTTTCCAAAACTGTATAATGTGTAGGAGTTGCTGTTCCTTAATTAACTTATTATGCAATCAAGAAATAATCAAAATGAGAAGAGACAACTCTATCTGCAACAATCATTCCAAAATTCTCTTTTGATTATGAAAAGAACCTATCATTTATTCTCTTATTCACCATTATAAATGCAAATTCTGGTAATTTTAAATTATATTTATTATTAATAATCTCTTTCATAGTTTCTACCTCCTCTTAATATAATCTATTTATCTATGAAGTCCCTACTCCATCTCTAAAAATTATAATTGTATCAGGTAATTTTTTATTATAATTCTAATATTCTTCTAAACTTTGTTCTAGTAACATAGCTACATCTTTATTGATTTCTTTTCCTTTTCTTACAATTATAGTTTTAGTGAAATTAGCATAACCTTACTATCCAAATTAAGCATTGAATCCAACGCAAGAATCCAATCCTAAAACTGTTTTATGATAAACATCAATTCCAACAATCATAATATTATCTGAGATCTCTTATATCTTTTATATATTCCACGTTTAATTTCCTAATTTGCTATGTATTTATTGGATTATTTTAGGAACTATTGCACCAAATTTTTAATTTTCAATCAATTATAGAGTGACATTTTGATGAGATACGCCTTCCTCAGCAATTAAATACTATTTTAATTGTTGATAAATCTATTTATCTTTTTCTTGATCTATTAATGAAACTACCAATTTTGGCCTTCCTTTCTCTGAAAAATTTTATTCAAGGCATGATATCCAATCTTAGCTTTGATCACTTTTAACCTTTTAACGAAGAGGTTGTGATAAGATTAATCCATAACGATTTCCACTTGATATTAGTTATCTTAAAAAATAATTTGCCAACTGTTCTTCTTAATCATTATATATTAAAACCCAATTTTCTAATTTACTTTATTAATAAAATTTATTTTTTATCTCAAAGCATCCACCAGGAAAACTATTTATTATTCCTTCAGCATATATTTCTGGCTTCCTTATTTCATAGGCTTATGTTTTAGAATTAGATTTGAGAACTATATTTTATTACTTCATCAAATACTCTAATTCACCTCTCTCATCCATAATCCTTTATTATCTTTCGTTTTAATTCACAATTAATATAGGCCTAAGGAATTTTTTGATGTTAGTATTAGTTTTTTGTGCTTATGATAATCCAGTTAACATCATTAATTCAGGAATCAATCTTATTTTTTATCCCTTTTTAGTCTGATGGACCAATAAAGGTTAGGATATATCATTTATAGTAATATTGTATCTTTATTAATAATATAAACGGTATGTAGTTTTTCCATCTTCCATCATGGATTATGGATTTCTAGAAAAATCTATATCATCAATTCTATAGAATCGATTCGAATATTTAGCAAGCCCAGATTATCCAATTAATTTTTTTCTTATTTGTAGTTATAATTCATGTTTATCATAGTTCCATTCCATATCTGAAATTATTCTAGATATGGGATATGTATTGATTAACTTTACGCTATAATCTATTTAAAGTAGAGGAGATGATTGTCCGCTGCAAAATGCACTCCTGAAACCTTTCATGTAGCCAATATTGTAATTTTTTTAGAGGTTTTTTTCTTCATTCATTTTGGATTCATAAAATTTACCTTTTCCAAACAACTCTTTCATGTTTCTAGATTCATAAAGCTACTTAAGTATAGCATTGATAGCTTATTTGGTTACATTTATTGATGATTAATCATCAAACTAGGCCATCTCTTTTAAATTAATTGTTTTAACATATTTGATGTCGAGTATCATCTTCTTTTCTTTATTCATAACTTTTTCTAAATGAATGGCATTCTTTCTCAATTCATAGCTCCAAAGATTCATTCCTGTGATACAATACCTTTTAATTCCTTCCTTTTGAATTTCATCTTTAAATTCATTAAATTATTTTCTAATTTCCTTTTCTGAATCCAAAGGAGGTTCAGGTTAGATTGCAAAACTGTAAATATGAAGTATCACGTCCTTTAAAAATTAAAGTTCAAAATGATTAGACTCAACAGTCTTAATCCTAAAATCTTTGTCTAGATTTGCTCTTCTTTACGGCCTTAAGGGTAATTAACAAATTGTATTTGTTTTCTATTGCATTAAAATATTATTAAATATCTAGAACTAGTCTAATGTTTTTAAATGGATGGATGTACATAAATTAAGGTCAGAATTTATTCCTAAGAGGTAAATTTTGTACTATTTTTTATATAAAAATATATGTATTATTTTATTAATTAAATAATAAAATTTGTTTTACGAGATAAACAATTAATTTTAATTAGAATGTCTAGAATTTTAAGCGATTCTTTATTAGAGTAAGCAAATCAGAAGAGTAATTTATCTATTAGATAAGCAAATCATGATTAAGAAGCATAGGAGATGTTTTCGTTATTAAATAAGTAATTGTCGTAATTAAGGAAGATTGCATATTATATAAGGAGAATATGAAAGAGATATGGCTAAAATATAGGCAGAAATTAATTAATTGGATAGAGGAGGAATGAAATTCTTAACTCCGGAATAAGTTTAAAAGAAGTATTATTTATAAAATCTGATGTCTCAAAGATAAGCAACTCATGGAAAGGAATAACAATTCTTAAGGAACCTATAAAATTATAGAGAATAGTATATTTTGAATGAAAAATTGATGAACACTAAGGGTATATCGAATCAAGAAATGTATAAGAAAAGAGAAGAAATTTTGAAGATGAAATTACAATATGAGTAACTGTAGACAGAAAAAGCAAAGGTATATAGAGAATAATAAAATCCAAATACCTTATCTAGTGTAGGGCTATCGGTTTTGATGGATGTGAGTAAAAACCAGAATTTCGATGCAGCTAAATAAAAGTTGAATAAGGATGAAGCAAGATTATAATTTTTAAAAGCACGATAAGCAGATGATATTTTGCATCGAGATCTAGATGAAGTTATGAGTATTTGAATCTTTTCATATTAGATAGTGGCCCAGGGGATAATACATCAAATGAAGTTAGGTATTTATTGAAATAAGGTATTGGTAAAACTTAGAGGGAATAATTAGAACATCTATCAAAAATCAGAGAATAATTAGAAGAGTATAATAAAGGTAATACAAGGCTAGTCTTACCATTTGAATAAATTAATGATAATAAGAAAGCAAATACTGATTAAGATAGTTATTTAAATGAGATAGATTAATTAAGAAAAGACTATGTTAAGGCTGGAGGAGTAGATCCTAATTTTTTATTGAATCTTTCTCAATTAGAAAGAAATATAAATAGAAAGGCAAATGGTTCGTAGTATGATTTACCTTAATAACCTCAATATGTCCATATTCCTTAAAATTAAAGAAATTCTTCATACTAATAACCAATGGCTCCTAATGTATCAATGGCTCCTAATGTATCCTATTCACAACCAAATCTGCATCGCCAATAATAAGGAGCCATCTATCAACAAAACAATCAAATAAACTCAAATTCCTTATCAACTCATCCAATATATCAATATTTACCGTAGTCCTTTAGAGAAGAATTGAATAAGTTATAATTACAAACTCAGCCTATGAAAATTGAGGAGAAGAAGAAGATTGATCCTAACAATGCAGATGATATGACTTTAGAGTATCTAAGAAATCAAGAAGCTGAACTATTATTGATGATGAGTAAATTAGACCCAAGATCAGCTGACCATTAAAGATTAATGGATAATTACAAGGAATTATAAAAGTTAAGAAACTTGATAGAAAAGGCTGTCTTTGACAAAAGAGTTTCTGATGCAATCAATAAGGACAAGGAATATAGAAAAAAACTAATAAAATAATAAGTTAATTTATTTGATAGATCCAATAGGGCAGTTCATTATGCAGCAAGTGAAGGATTTGTACTCTTTTTTGATTATGCATCGATGGTTGAAATTCAATTTCATACTTTAAGAATAAATTATGGAATATTTAGAAAAGGTTCAGATATGTACCCATATAAACAAACGAAAGATTCTCTAACAGCTTTTGAAACTTATAGAACTAATAAAGCAGTATTCTTTGATAGGGATATAATTAGAGATTTAGAAGCCTATCCTGACACATATGTGTTTGTTGAATTATGGGGCTATTAGTCCAATATACCTGAAGTTATAGGATGGTCAATGATCAGATTATTTTAGGATGAAGGTAAATTACTTATCGGAAGATTTCGAATTCCATTTTATAGTCAAAAATTAAATCCGAATTTCTTATTCACTCAAGCATTACCATATGTTAACAATACTTTGGTTTATGGTAGAATTTGTCTTCCTGGAGACCCAATCTTAGATTCCAATGATATTATTGTAATAGAAAGTGAATATGACATGCCTGATATGCATATTCATACTACTGCACATGCAGCATCTCTTGCTGAAATTTAAGATGTCTATTTGAATGAATCCAAGAAGTTTGAGAAAAAGAAAGACATTCCACCAGTTGATTTAGGTCTATCAAATTAAACTTTTAAATAAAATATCTCATAACTATCCTATACTAATCAATCAGCTGATAGTCCCGTAACAAAAAGTGGAGGAGCAACCACTAAAATGAAAACCAGATTCTCAAATCGAGGTTCTAAAAATTAGTCGAAAAATACAACTCCAACTCCTGGATCATAAACTAATAGATAGAAAAGTTAATTCGGAGATGCAAAATTAACATTTAGATTAATTAAATTGGCTAAATTACCTACTAATGAATACAAAACAGCTCCGATTAAATTAAAGTTGGGTGTTTTTAATGGGTCCAAGATATTAGAAGATTTTGAATAGTAGCCATAGATGGCTGTCTTATAATTAGAACCAACTAAAACAAATGGCGAGAAGGAAATTGAATTCAAAACAAAACACGAGTTTACATTATCCCTAGATTGGTTGTATAATTACAGAGGAGATGATGTTATGTTATTTATGGGTTTATTCATTAATTAAAAAGATCTATTTGGTTGGCTAGCCACTCCATTATTTTATCTTGATAATGCATAAAATGATTACAAAATGAAATTAGGGGCTTATTCATGCAATTTATTGGCTCCTCCAGGATAATCGCCTCCTTTTAATCCAGAAACTATGAAGAAATAAGAAATTGAAGTAGATTTTATTATTATGACAACTGAATAAAAAGCTGAATAATTGCAAATATATGATACATATATTAGCTTAAGTAATTAATCAAAATTAGATCAATCTAAAATGTCAAATCTAAATAAGTCTAGCAGATCCTAAGGACCAATCCCAAGCATTTTTAATAAGTCTCAAGACAAATCAGTTGATTAGGGTTATGCTCAGAAAGTAGTCATCTAGCTGGAAATGCTTAATGGAGTGATTAGAGATGATGAATATATAGTGGATGTGGCTATCTGTTGTAAAGATAAGGTTGTCTATGATGTGAATGATGAACCTTGTAAATATAAAATAGATTAAACATTTGAGAGCCAAAAAGGAGCAATTCTGTTTGAAGATGAAAAAATTGAATTTGAAATTGATTTTAATAGTGAAAAGAATCAAGGAATTACTAAACAAGCTTGTTAATTACTATTGTATTTCTCAACTAAAAAAGATAAAGTCACATGGTTTGTACATGATTTAATTAAGTATGGTAGATATTCCTTACCTACTTTGAATCTACCTTTTTAAAAGCCTCCAATAGATAAAACCAAACTCTAAAACCATGCTCTTATGACACTAGCATTTGATTTGAAGCCTATATAATGATTTCATTTTTATTAATTTATAAATTTAAACAATTATACTTATTTGGAGTCTTAATTTTTGGATGTATAAGAAATTCTCAAATTTTGTTAATATTCTCTTATTTAATATATACCTTAAATATAAATAATTTTGGTTTAAAATGTTGATCGGGATTATTCCTAATATACAAACTATTAAAATTAAAAAATTAAAAAACTGCACACAGTGAGATTTGAACTCACGCGAGAATGACTCACCGCATCTTGAGTGCGGCCCCTTAGACCACTCGGGCATGTGTGCTATATTGATATTCTTTTAGTAACAATTATTATATTCTAGTAGGTTTAAAAATGAATTAGAGATATCAATAAGTTATTGGTTAAGGAAATTCCATTATTTTTTATAATAATATTAAATAAGTTAAAAATTAATTAAATAATTATAGTTACTTCACTGCATATCGAATAGGGTTTTATTATAGATTATTTATCATTTAAACTAATTTATACTACAGATTTAGGTTTGTACCTGATTTCTATTCTATTTAACTAATTTAATATATATATATAATGAACTTGTAAGACTTATTATTTTAAATAATTGATTCGTAATTTAATGATAGAATAGTTGTGTATAATTAAAAGAGAATATTCTTTAATTAATTTCTTTAACTTATAATAATATTACACGTCAACAATGATCAACGATTTCAACAGTTGGTATACAAATTAGCCTCTTTTTACAAGAACATATGTGAGTGTATTGGTGTTGTTTGGAATCATAGGAAAATTCAAGCCAGCTTATTTGTGGTATCTAATGTTCGATGCTAAGAAAATATTCAGTCTTTAAGTATTAATTATCATCGAATTGTGTAGATCCATAGATTATTTACTCATTACTTTTTCAACGGTACATTAAGTTTTAGTTTTATCCTGCATCTGTTGTTTATAATCTTTTGTATAAAAAACTGTGAAGTAATGTTCGAAGGATCCAACTATGCAGATTTCTACTATATGATTCTTTACTTTTTTATAACAGGAGATGTAATTCATTTGATTATGTAGATAATGAGTTGGATATTCGATTACGGATTTTTATCTGGAGCATTTTGTTTTGCATTGATCTATGTTTGGTGCAAGAGAAAACCATTTGAAACTGTGAGATTTTACTTTGGATTTTAATTCAAAAGTGAATATTTTCCATGGGTCCTGATTGCTTTTGATGCTATAACTGATCAAGACGTAGTCTAGGATCTTATAGGTTTAGGAATAGCACATTCATATTTATTATTAAAAGACTTTCTACCAGTCACCAAAAACATCTCCTTGTTGGAAACACCTCAATTTTTGTAACAATTCATAGTAATTTGCTAGTAAGAACTTTGTGAATAAGCACATTGTAAAATATGCTCCTTTTGCAAGAAACAGATTTAATTAATAGTAATTCCAGCAACCTTAAAGACAGTTCTTTTAAGGATAAGGTATACGTTTAGGTTGATGTATAAAATATTTGAGTATATATATATATATAAATCATTAACCAAGGAATTTTTTCAACCAATTTTTACTAAGTAAATTTAAGATTTTTTCTTAGAATAATTACTTCTTTCCTTTCTTTTCAATGGTGGGTTGATTTGAAGAATTACCTAAATATGGTACCTTATCAAAATAGTGATTCTATTGAAAATGTTAGATAATTAAATTTTGTTTTTTTAATTTTTTCAATTCTTAATAATAGGAAGCAAACATTGTATCTCTAAAAAATGGCATTAATTTTTCTAATTCATTCATGTTTGTAATTTTAAGTTAATAAAACTATAGGGTTCCAACTATGAAATTTTAAATAAATGGTTCTCCATATAATAAGTGCATTTCTAGTATTAATCTTACGAACTTCTTTTCTTGTTTTTACATTAGCATTGTAAAATAATATTAACTAAAACATTAGCATAAGTTATTCTAGATAAATGATCATATTCATACAATATTGTTACTTTACAAATGTAGAAGTATTTCATTACAACGACTTTAGAGCATTAATTCTAATTCTTCTATTCTACTATGAATGCCTGGCACTCCTGAAATAAAGAGATTCTCCATTGATTTCATTAAATGAACAAACATCCAAAACATTTCTTCTTCATCTTCTATTACTTCAAAATTATCCAATTCCAACTGTCTATCATTTCCATCAATACTTAATAATAGAATAACATTCCCACAAATAATATTCATTCCTTATGTATATCCTATTTTTGGATTATATATTGCATAAGCCCCTAAAATTCGACCTAATATATGAGTGAATTTATTGGTATTCATTTTATCATCATGTCCAGACCTGTTGAGATCTTTGCTTATCTGTAGTTACACATTTTAAGGAGGTTACTTAGAGAAATACTTTTTGGCATCCCCTTTTTCAATGAAATTCATCCAAATAGCTCTTCGTCTAATTAATAATATGGGTTGACATACTCCAGATATTTGAGGCCTCTCTATTGTATTAAAGTTGCAGCTATTTATAATTTTTCTTCATCTCCCAAATTCTTTTTTTTGCTTAGTTTAAGTAATTATTCATTATTCAACAAAGGTATTGGCGGATATTTTGGTTCTAATATAAAGGATAGAGTTATACATTTTTCTGATATGGCAAGTTCTTCATCTCCTTAATAATTTACTAATTCATCATCTATTTATTTCTTGATATCAATTGCTAAAAAATTAGATTAGAAAATTGAGGAGGAAAGCAAGGAATCAAAAGAGCCTCTTCTTTCTTTTTTTGTGGATTATTTCATTATAGTTTTTAATTTTATTATTCAATTATTATTATGTCTTATATAATGATAAATATGTGATATCATCAATATCAATTTAGAGGATTAAGAGTAAAATAGGAATATCATGATTTGCAACTTAATTTTAAGAAACTTATTAAATTATATATTTAAAATGAATTTATGTGATAACTCAGGATGGGATATCGAAGAGTAGTGTTATTTAGATACTCTATTTACAGGTTATTTACCTAAATTGGAAAAAAGAATCTCCGAAAACAGTAGTCATCGAATAAGAACTTTATCATAACCAAAATAGTTTAACCAGTCAATCAACTCTCTTCATCATCATAGACCTACTCAAAGTTAAGCTTATTAGATGGGTTCTTTTAGTGCTAACTTTTACACTCCTTCTACTACTAAGACTCGAATTCGATTTAAATTCACTCCAACATTGACTCAAGAAGATCAACAAAGATAAAAAAATATTTCTCAATCTCCAATTAAAAAGAAACCGAAATATACTATAATAAATATGAGTTAATTACTCACAGTCACTCCTAAAGTTAGAATGCATTAAGATTCATTGAATAAAGTGCTTGAGAGATTTTCCAATAAAAAAAGATGAAACATACAACCATTATAATATTAATGAACTCCTTTTTGTTTTTATCATCTTAAGTATTTATTCTTATAATTAATAATAACGATACAGATTTCGATATATATGTTTATATGCTATCTTTTAATGTAACTTAATTAATTATTATTTATATCAAATAAATTTCATGCCTAAACAAGTGTAGTAAAAGTAAGCAGGAGGAAAATTTGTGTCAACTGGAGATCCAGTTGCAGATGATAGAAATTGGATAGGAAGAGTTAATAATGAATTAACATGCACAGCTGCTTGGAATAGAGATTGGGGATTCTTAGCAGGCAATTCAGAGAATCTCAAATTGGAAGATGCTACTAAACCTTATAATATTGATGAATAAATTAAAAATCTGTAACAAGTATTTCCAATTTATATTATCAAAAGGAAATTGAAAAAATATAAGTTGACCCAAATAAAATTACAATTAACAGAACCTATGGCAAAGGAGATGCCTTGGAGAAGTTTTAGACAGATCAAAATAATAAATAAAGGAACAAAGACTTGAAACCTTAAGATAGAAAAATTCCAAAAACATGGAAATATCAAAAAGGATGGAAACCAGAACCTGATCCATATGATCCAGTCTAAAACATGTTTAAAAGCAATAAGAAAAAATGAACTATATGTTCAAATATTATCAATTAACAAAGCATGATTATAAATGGAATATTCGAGCTTCTATTTCTTCTTCTATTTAGAATTATTTACTTTATAGATATTAATATTATCCCAAATTATTCTATTCTATCTTTAAAGTTCATTTACTACAACAACAGTTAAAAATATTTCTGTATTTTATAATATAACATCGTTCTGCTGTCAAATTATAATTAATTTCTATTTTTAAATATACCATCTAATTGCCTTGTTTGAATTATTCTATTTTATTAGAAGTTTAGTATAAAGAACTCATGTTTTTGGGATATAAGTACTTTGTTAACAAGAGAAACAGAATATTTGATAGAAATTATGGTTTTTTTTATTTATTTTAGTGAAATCTTCAGTTTTTGTATCGATTACTATGTGGTTTTTCAATCTTATGAATTCTGTAAGACGATAAATTATGTATATTTGGAGAATATGTTGATTGAAAAATTGAGTTTTGGAGGAATGATCTTGGGTTTTTTGAGTAGGATTTGTTCATATTTATAATAGTATGGAATTAACAAATAATATTGTGAATTAAGATTAGATAGTAGTTCAGAAAATAAAAAGACAGGACAAAGCAGGCACTGAAATAATGAAAGGAGTTAAGAAACACAAAATTACATTTATAGATGAAATAGAGAAAGGGAAAGCTGTTCAAACAGTAATTGAAGTAGAATGCTGGAAAAAATATAATTATGTTTCACCTGAAACAGAAGTAGCAGATGAATGCTGTTTGCTTATTTGATTACAAATAATAATTGTTATTTAATTTCTTATGAATAGAGTTTTGCTCATTTTCAAATATTAAATATAGTCTTTTATTTTCATTTAACAATGGCATAATATATCATATTATAATATTAACAAATATTTGATGAGTTAATATAATTAATTAATCAAAAACTATCATCTAGAGTTGGATAGGCAACAACAACATCAGATTTATCAAAAAGCAACATACTTTTTTAATCAGTGCTCCAATCTATTTTTACAACATGGAAGTTCTTATCGAATGGCATATCACAAGCAGATGTACACGATGGATTCCAAAAGAATATCTTGCTACTTCCAGTACAAACTGTTAGAGTGGTAGAATTCTTCGACCATGTAAAAGATTTAACAGGTAATATTTAAACCATTATAGCTTTTAAGGTCAATAATTCCATGTCCCAAATGAATACACAATTTTGCATCCCATCAAATTTAGTGGCAATATAATCATCCTTATAACTCCATTCCAATAAACTAATACCATTTTGAGTTTTTGATAAATTTATTTTACAGCCCTATTCCATTTGAGTAACTATTTATCACATTAGAATAATACATTTTGTAACTACTCTCTATGAATATTAATCAGAATACTCCTCTTCTTTATAGATGAGGACATCTTTTGTAATCTTATGTTCTAATTCTGTTATTTATTTCAGTGTCAATAGATTTATGATTCTTAATTTCTCATCATTTGCTCCAACCGCCATCAAGTCACTTTGGTTTGCAAATCTACTTACCTTTATGCCTAAAGAATATGAATAAGGTTCAAATTTCATTTATAGACCTTAACAAGGACAATGAATATTCAATCTAAACTAAAACATTTTTATCTAATGAATTACATTTAATTCAGTGTCTTAAACCCCAATGAATGAATCATTATGGGACCATTGCAATACTGCAATATCTAAAGTATCAGATGGTTGATAATTTAATAATTTCCAATCTCTCACACTGTAGATACCAATAAAATCTTTAGCATCTTTTCTTTCACTCATAACCATAAATCTTCCATTCTTACTAAATGAAATTTATTTTGGATTTTTAAAATGAGTAACATTTTTGTTATTTAGATTATAAATTGTGGCTTTAATCTAATTCAATTTAATTTATTTTTACTTAAAATTCACTAATGACTGCTAATTAAATAGAATCTGGACACCATTAAATAGTTTCAATACTATCATCTATCTTTGCACACCAATTAATATCATCTATTTTCCTTATTTCTATATATCCCTTTTTTGGATAACTTAATGCTATTAATTCGCTATTTGGTGATATTTCTATTTATTGTATTTAAGCATCATTAATTTATGAATGAGTAAAATTGATCGATTATAATTAATCTGTTTCTTTTACAATTACTCTTGTTCCATTACTCAAAACAATAAACTTGCTGTTGGGTGCAAATTATGCAAATATCACTCCTGGAAATATTTCACTAAAGTTCATTTCAATTTTGAATTTAAATTATTTATATTATAAAAATTAATAACACTGTGTTCATTCTCTAAATTCTTTTAATTGTAATTTAGAATTTTACTCAGATAAACAGAAGAATCTTTATTAATTTAAACTAATATTATCATAATCTGATCATCGATCATAATTTTAAAACTATTGAATTTGTTTCTCTCTTTTTTCATATTATTATAAATTACTACTACTAGATGAAGATGATAAAAATGATGATGATCTTGAACTTGAGTAACTTTACAATTATTATTAACCTTGGCTCTAATGATTTTCATATCAATAATACTTTCTTATTACTAATCTCGTTGTTTTCAGCCTCATCATCACTAATAATTATGAATGTCCTCTTTAGAAATCTTTACAAAGCCTCCTAAGTAACTTTAATCTTCTTTTAGCATTTCAAAGGACTTTTCTTTTCAATAATCTCTATTGATGATTCTGATTGATTTTATTTATTTTCTTTCAATTGCTAAATCTATTTTTTAGTTAATTTTCTAAGTTTGGGTTTATTTTCCCTAAGAATTTAATCAGTAACTACTGCTAGAACTCCTTCATTTGACATCATTCTTTTTCTTTTTTCTTTCATCATCTTCTATCTATTTACAATGTTATTATATTATTTTAATATTGGATTAGTATTTATTTATTCAAAAACTCATGAAACATTGAATCATTTTAATGTGTTTATTGAAATAGACTTATGCACTTAGTTCGCAACTTTTATTATTGAAATAATTAATCTAATCCTATAGCTTAAGATCTAGTGTATTTATAAAATTATGAATTACAACTCTTCCTTCTAGTTAAACCTATTGACTATTATAGATTTCAATTGAATCTTTTAAAATATAAAATAATCTTAGAATTAAATCGCCAGGTAAAACTATCTAATATTTTATAGTATCTTGTAATCTCCATTTCCACACATTCCATTAATAATGATTGAATGAATAAAAGGAAAGAATAGATCAAATAAATATAAATATTAAATTTTAATAATAGTCATCTATAATTCAAGATATTAGATTAATACTATTTAATTTAGGAGTAAATTTAAAAAGTTGAACTTCATTTACTTATCTGTTCTTGCTATATGATGATTTAACAATTGGAAGATTTAATTTTTTATTTGTAATGTTTGGGCTGTTGCTCTCAGATTTAATTGTAAATTCTCTGCTGTTTGAATTTGTCTTAGAGAAGAATGTTGTCTTACATGCATCTCTAAGGAAAATCTTTCTTCCACTTCCTTGTTGGACTTTTTAGATTTATTTGATAGGTTAATTAATTAGTACAAATGATCTTCTAAATGAGGTAATTTGATTGGGCTAGAGTGGATTATTTTCATCTTCTTCAATTTCTTATTCTTATTTTCTTTCAATTGGACTGATTCCTTTAAACATTTAATCCAGATTTCTTTTAATTCTAAAATTAGTGTGCCTGGATTTAATTATTTATTAGGTATAGATTAACTTTGCTTATGATTAAAATTTAGTAATATTTCCACATTCATCACAGTAGCAGCTATTTGATCGTTATTTCTTAGAGAAATGGGTTTAATTAGTTTATATAAGACTAATATTATTGATATTAGAATGGTGTTATTTAACTTAAATTGGTTTGGCGATTCTTTTATGAATTTGATTATTTGCAATAATGGTATCTTGAGAATCCAGATATGTTGATTCAATACTCTAAAATTTCTTATGTTTATTTGTTGAAAAATGTAAAATTTGTGATTATAAATTGATAAACTTGAATTATAGAGAGCTAAGTTATCCGCATTACAAACAAGTGCAACTTTTTCTTCGCTCTCTCCATTATTCAGTTATTTGAGGATTTGTAATATGAATGTAACTTTTGTTCCTCCGTTTAATTTATTTTTGATTGCTTGATGAAGACATAATGAATTCTGAGTTTATTTAATAAATTAATATGCTTTTAATTACTGTTTTAAAATAAAATCTATATTTATTAAAATATAAATGCATAAGAAAAAATAAATTAAGAAATGAATTACAATCAAAATATACCAGATTTTTAGTTATGTTTTTTAAAGTATTCTTTTTATTGATTAGTGATGGTAGGTTTTTTAGTATTCTTTTAGGGAGGACTTTTGTTTTAATTGAATTATAAATAAGGTAGTATTTGTTTTTTATTTTCTATAGGTGAATGTATATCGAACTTAATTTTAGTATTTGTTTCAAATAGATTTAATGATTATTAATGACGTAGCACTCGTTATGTTTAAGGTTATTTTACTTGAAACTTCTTTAATATAGGGTTGTCATTTTTTGAATTATTAAGATCTATTTCAAGCATTCTTTTTTTAAAATATCTGAACTCTCCATTTTTTACGGGTGAAAATTGTTCTGTGTTCTATTTTCGGTATTGAGGTCTTTTTAAAATCTTTTTAATTCTAAATTGATTTGCCAGTAGTTATTTTTTAAAGAAATGCAAATTTTAATATTTTTATTAGAAAGTGCTCTATATTCCACATTCACTACATTCACAACTTCTTCTATTCCTATCTCTTTGGCAATTATTCAAAAATATAGAATTGATCAACTCTATAGATTTACTCCTATTATTATGTTATAAATTAATGTTATCTCTAAATTATCTTTGGTCGATAATACTCTACTATTTTTCAAGTTCTTATTGTTTTTCAATGTCTTGTTGGAGAATTAAAGATTCTTTGATATGATTCACACAAGAGGAGACATTCATATAAGTATACTGAAAGAGACTCATTTTGCCACACATTTAACAATAACAACTTTTCCTTCTATGTTGTTTTTTATAAATATGTGAAGTTCGTTCTTCTTCAAATGAATAGTCCTTGAAACTAGGGCCTTTCCAAATGTCTGTGTTTTATTTTTGTTTTCTGACAAATGGTAAATCCAATTATTACATATAAAATATAATTATTATAAAGAACTAAAAATAACATTATAATGATATATCATTATGTTTTTAATCTTTTGTGTTTGCTTATTTGAGGTGGTTTCATTTTTGTAAAACACGAAAGTTTTTTAGTAAATCCAATAAGGAGAGGACATAAAATTTTTCGTATTGTTGCGGGGTTTGATTTTAGTATTTGTAAATCTCACAGATTATGGAGGTCGTTAAGTAATTAATTGTTAAGATTTAAGTATGAACGGAGTAGGTCCATCATTAGAATGAAAAACACTAGGTCTCAAAGTTTTATTTTTCTAAACAGTTTCCTCCAATAATTTCTAGGTTGTACTAATTGAAGATCTTGCAAATGAAAGAGTCATATAGCATGAGTGGAGATCTTTGTTCTTCAGATTTTTCATTTAATAATGATTTTCTACTTATACGAAAAGAGCTCTAACTTTTGCGAATATGTTGAATATCTTAATAATGATAACAAAATACTTGGAAGCTAAATAGAGAATTTATTTTAGTTTGGCAAATGTTCTTTTGAAGAATGTAGAGTATAACTTTGATTTCTATTTTGGTGCAATTGATGTTTGAGATTCATAAATTTGTATTGGAATGTACTTATTCTACCACATTCATTACAATAACAACTCTTTCTTCTTATCTTTTATTTGTTGCTCTGTTCTAATGGATTATTTGAAAAGAGGTCACTAAACGAATGTTTATGTTTTTGTTGAATTGTCTTAATAAATTTAAAATGACAGGAATCTTTGACTGTGTGAAGGGAATAAGTAAATACAGACTAAGTTTTCATATTAAGTATTAAATAATCAAAAATTTGATTTGATGTAAATATTTAGATACATTAAACATAATAAAGTTAGACAATAAAACAATAATCATTCATAACGTCTAATTCTAATCATACCCACTTATTCTCACCTTGATTGCTCAATACTATCAGTTAATCAATTTAATATATTTCTTTGTTTTGGACAAACTTGAAACTATGAATTACAATAGTATAAAATCTTAATTAAAACTACTAATTAGGATCCGAAATTGTTCATATCATTTAGATAACATGTATTTATATATAACTGAATATCAATTATTAACTTATTTCAAAGCACTCTTCAGTAATTATTAGTATAACTAATTGATTCAATTTGTTTAATATATTATTTATTAAATAATCATTACATTCATCAAAACTCTCCTAATTCCTTTTATTATTTGTGTCTCATATGTTTAATAAAAGTTGAAAAGATGTCTTTATCTGCTTTGATATATTCACACTGATCATCTTGCTTTTCCATTAATTTACATTCTTTTGCAAATTCTTGATAATAATATAAATGATATACTTTTTCCACAGTTTTTTTTAACGAAATCTAATCTATCATGGACTTTCTTTTGATCCTCTGATTTCAAACAATGAATGTTAATCAGAGGAACATCTTGATTACGATCTCCTTTTGGTATGAATTTTAAACATGTCAAATGATACCAATGTTTTTTGTCATATCCAAATCCTGGGGCCACAAAAACATGCCCAAATCTAATTTCATTTTTTGCAATATTTTAAAAGCATCCTGTACATCTGGCTCTATTTGACAAAGCATAACCAACCTCTAAATATTATTGCATTTTAATTGATGTTTTAAACAATAACCATAGTAATTATATTAATAAAAATCATTATAATAATTATATCATATAATTAATTCTTCCATCTCTTCTATTTAGTACTTATACTATTATTATCATAAAGAGTTAATATACAATTTTAATATATCCTAAAGCAACATTTTGGTTTATGGTTATTTTTAGTGATTGGTTCCATTACAATTTATTAGATTGATAAAAATGAGTATCAAAAATCAATTAATGAGTTCATTCCAATGAATTATTATTCTGTTATTACCAATATCTCAGTTATTGTAGAATCTCTTAGATTTAGAGAGAATTATTTGATATAATAAAAGGTTGCCAATTAAAGACAAAGCTTTCCCTTTTACTTGAATATCATGGAAGGGATAATAAATTAGTAAGAACATCAATTATTTTCTTCCAACAAAATCAAAAATGATCAATCCTCTTAAATTTTTAAAGAAATTTTGATACAATATTTTATATATATATAAGGAATGTTTATTAGAATTTTATAAATTGTTACTAATATTTATATCTATAAATAATATACCCATATGAAACACGATGAATATATATAGATCTTAAGAGATTCATAAGCAATTACATTAAGGAATGAATTAACTTCGTTATAATCAAAAGCTCACGATTATGTTATCTAATAGATGAAACTAATGGAATGCAAATACAAAGAATAATTGTTATCAATTGTTGAATAGTATGAAGATTGTAAGTTAATTTGTGAATAACTCAAACTAAAAAATGAATAGTATTCAAAACTTATTTTAGAGTAAGAGTTCAAGTCTATCCAAACAAAAAATTATGTGAGTCTTGAAATTGTCAATTAACTATTAACCTAAAAGATAAACTCCCTATTATTACAACTCAAGAATCATAACATCATTTCTGAATCTGAGTATCATGCCCAAAGAAATATGCTTTAGAAAAATATTGCAGAAGTCTTCCTTAATTATGATGAACAACCCTAACCAGTATTCCTTGTTCCAAATACTTAAAATTCTAAACCTATTTAAATTCCATAATAAACAATTAAATATGAAACCCAAAGTTCAATCCATAATTAGAATTAAATTAAAGTAAACAAATATTTCTCCATTTCTACTCAAACAGAACTAGCTAAGAAGAAGAAAGAAAAACCTGTGAAATAATCCAAGTAGTAAATTCAAGAACAATAAAGCATTACTATTGATTTATCCAGAGAACTATTTGAATGTAAAAAATCTATTTAAGAATTATAAAAAAGTAAAATTGATTTATAGATTACCAATGATTAATTGAAATCATAAAATTAAAAGCTCTTAAGCAGATTAAATAAGAAATAACCTACTTTAATCAAATGCAATCAAGTTGCTATGAAAAATTCATATACACCATAAATAATAAAAAAATTTATAAAATTTGATGATATACTTTTTAAAAATGTAAGACCATTTAAAATGGCTGAAAGCTTTGATTTGAGACAAGGCAATTTAAGCAGTCGATAATTCTTTACAAGGCCCAATACATCCGCTCCGAATACTGCCAGAAATAGATTAAACTAGACCTAGCAACCATCGATATTAGGTTACTAGGTTTTATTATGAATACATCTATGAACATATTTAGTTTCTAATTACTCATTTATATTATTTTTAATTAGTTAAATCTTAAGGCTTTCGATCTTTTGAATCCAATAATAATTATCCTTGATTGTCATTCTATCTCAAGCCTCAAGTGAAGTTTCTTTAAATAATTTGGATCAATATTCAAAAATTGTTTAAATATGAATTGAAATTGCTTGTTCTTACCAGCTGGATAAAATAAAGAAAAAAATTAGGAAGTTGAGAGATTAAGGTTTTATTAATTTTACATATTTTAGGTAATTAATTTTACAAATTTTAAATTAATTTAGTAATTTTATAAAAACAAGAAGGAATTAGAGGTAACAAAAGAATCTTAGAGAATTAAAAACGTCGAATTTTTAATAGTTTCACCCTTAAATCACTCTTTTTAGTTGAAATGAACTCGAGTTTTAAAATTGTATTAAGAAATAAAATGAGTAATTCCAATTTGAGGATGATCGATCTAAACTAGTAATCTTTAATAACAAACGTAAACCATCCTTCTCTCAATTTTACTCATCCGATTTTTGAGAGCTCACATCTTCATAAATCCATAAAACTGAAAATAACAACAGTATAAGCCATAGGCTAGTGAAATCAGATCGTAATTTGCTTCTTCTTCAATAACCCTTTGATTATATAAAAAGACCAAATAGTATTCAATAAATGCTCTGTTTGGCTAATTAACCTTTCATTTATAATACCCATATATGCCTTGCATATCTTAATTTATTTAATAATAATAGTGATACTAATAAACCATATAAGTGGATTAAATTATCAAATAAATCAAAAAGGAAGGTAGTTTCAATGATTTATTCGGAAATGATATTAAAGTGAGTGATTCAGAAGATGAAAAATGATAATTTTATGATCGTTAATCTTTTATTTTAAATATAAATATATTTTATGTCTTCTTAAGATGAAGAATTACTAGAATTGCATTCAAGATATGACAATCTTTATAAACTCAATCAAAATATAGGCTTCGAAAATTAGAAATTACAAAATGAAATTCAAACATTGAAGTAGGTAAACCTTCAAATCCTAATTCTAGACTTTGTGTTCATTTGAAACAGAAAATAATGAATTAAATGATCAAATTGAAAATCTCAAGAATGATCTCAGAACATAATTTGCTATAAGTCAGAATTTAAGATAAGAAAATGAATTCTTTGAAAATTAAATACATGAATGCAAAAAACAAATTGAATCTGCTGCATCGTATTACAACTAAATAATCGAAGAAAACGATCTTCATATATCACAAATGCAACATAAAATTTAATAGAATGAATACCTAACATAGGAGAATCATTTGTATAAAGAACAGATTCATTCATTGCAAGAAGATAATGAATAATTAGCTTAAGAGGTAGCCAACTTATAAGAATCACTTAATAATCATGATCCATATACTTAGGATGGTAAACAGCTGTAGAATTCAGATCAAAACAAACATGTCAAAAAATAAAACAGAAAGAAAGTTAAGGAATTGGAGAGATTAATCATTAAAAAAGAATAAGAAATAAGTTAATTATATTCTAAAATAGAGGATCTAAAGAATTATAATTAATAAATGAAATATTAGTCAGAAAAATATGAACAAAATCTTTCTTACTTATATAGCGATTATTAATAAATTGAAATAGAAAGAAATAAATTGGCATCTAAAATTGATTCAATTTAAAATTCTAATGAAAGATTTTCTACTCTCTAACAATAATTCTCTAATTCTGAGAAAAATAAGAACAAAGAGTTTTAATCAATGAAAGTTCAATTTGATTAATTGCAAATGAAAAATCTACAATATCAATAATAGATTTAAGCTATAAATGAAGAATTAACTATTCTCACATAAAAGTATTCTGAATTAGAAGAATTGAACAACTAATATTTGCAAGAAGCTGAAAATTTCAAAGATTAATTACTTGAAAAGGACTCTCTTACAGATAAATTATAATCGCAATTACAATAGTAGTAGTTTAAGGATATATAATTTTAATAGCAAATCAAAGAGTTTAATTAATAATTAAAGGAATTATAATAACATAAGTCTGATTAATAGGCTTAAATTGCTTAATTGTTAAAGGAAAATTAAATATAAGCTAATCAATTAAGTTAGGTTAAGGATCTATAATCTAAAGAATTGAAAGATACTTTAAATTAAGTAGAGTCATTGAAAAAGGAAAGATAAAATCTCATCGATCTTATTAAAATTAAGGATGATAAATATATGGATTTGGAAATGAAATAGAAGAATTCAGAAAATTTGATTAAATAGATATAAGAAGAGAGAATTTATTTAGAATAAGCAGAATAGTATAATATTAAAATAATGTAGATCCTTTGAAGAGGTATCTTAATAATGTATGCAATTATAAGATTAGAATAGAGATCTCTTAAGGTAAGTTGCTAATCTTGAGAATGACTTACAAAAAAACGAAGAAGAATTGAGATAATTAAGGAGAAATAATAAAAAGTATTCATTTACATTAAGTAAAGTTCTTAAAATTTTGATAAGAATGCATAACAGATGATCTTGAAAGATAGGGAGATATTGCATTTATAATCAGTTGTAGAAAGATTGGAAGGAATGAATAAATAATTGTAATAGGAGTGTGATAGACTGGCTGCTAAAATTTAATTAACTTCACATGAAAACACTTTATTAAGCAGAACAAATAGAGAAATTAGTCAAATGGGAAAATTATTAATTGAGGGATAATAAATAAAGGAGATGTTGGAGAAGAAAAAATATGAAAAACCATTGACATTTACCAACAATAAGGCTCCTTAAGTGATATAATAGTTGCAGTTACATAGTAGAAGACCATCTGTAAAAAAATCTTGAATTAATTTTGAAATTAATTAAATCTCTAGTTAAATGTGAAACTATATTACCCAAAACGTGAGTTTAATTTCAGATATGGTAATTGGTGCTCCTAAAATCTCATCATTTTATCTATAATATTTCATTACAAAACAATCACCATTCTTATAGAACACTGCTAATGGAGATTAACCTAATAATTAATTTTCCCTTTGTTTTTACACCTGTTGTTGATTTCAATATTCTCCATTTATTATCCAATTGCCTTCGCCTCCCTTCTTATTCTATTTCATTCTTTAATTGAAAAAGGAAAGACAGTTTATTTCCTATTTTCTTCTTTTCATTATTTTCATAATATTAAATAAAATATGGATATCGAACTAGTAGAGAAGTAGAATTCTCAAAGTGAGATATCAAAAAGAGCAATATCTCAATATGAAGAATTCGATGAATATGATTCAAAGACAATATTTTGGGTCTGTTTACTAATAAAAGTCTTACTTATTTTTAAATGGTATTTTTAATTTATAAAAAAAGCTGTGCAATTTCTAAAAAACAATGTGAAAAGTGTTTAATAGAGGATAAATCAGAAACATCTCTAATTTTTGGTAATTCAAGTTATTGTACAATATATGTGTATAGTATTATATCAATCAATTTAGATTAATAACTGGGATACCAATTATTTCATTGATGTTTCCGCATACAATTGTCATTAGTAAACTATTTAATCATTTGCTTGGGAGGTTTCTGTATTTCTTGTACTTTTAATTAATATTGAGGATATTTTTTATTCTGTCAGAAAAAGATTGGAATCATTTGATGTATCCATGTGTAATTTACTTGATTGTGTGGTTGATTGGAAATAAGGTTGATGAAAAATTGATATCTGAATTATTATATTGAATTAATATTATGAACTGCTAAATTGAGCAAATTTTAAGTGATAATGAAATATAATCCATATATGGACAATTACAGTCAAACCTTAAATAAGTATTGGAGTGTTTGAAGCATAATAAATCTATAATGAAGGTTCTTCTTCAATTATGAGCTTAGGAATTCGGATAAGTAACAAGCGAGTATGGAGGCAAGATTGAAGCAATTGCAAAGAAAGTTATTGTAGATAACATGAAAATTAACATCAATACACTGTTTAAAGAGATGGGTTCATAAGTATGAGTGTTGTTTAGTTTAGATAAAACTCTTGGGATCCAAGATTGTAGGATCCTCTTAAGCATTAAAGGAATTGTTAATTCCAATAACTGAGGAAAGCAAATCATTGAAATAGTCCTTTAATGATTATGTTAAGCAGATAGATGCAAGGAGGAAAGATCAAGATGATTAAAATAAAAGATTAGAAGAGTTAAGATCGAAAATATCCTCCTTGTCAAAATCAACGTATTCAAATGAAAAATAGACCACAACTCAGCTTAAACAATTGAAATAACAAGAGAAGATGATGGATGATGAATACAAAATGAAATAATAGTAGTTTTGGATATGCAAAAGAGATCTTGGTAATTTTATTCTAGAAGAAAGTTAAATGATTGACTATAAGATTAACCATACCCAAACAAAATGTTATGAGATTATTTACTTTAGTTTAGAATAGTTTTAATCAAAGTTTAATCAAACCTCATAATTGAGACAATTACTTGAAGGTTCTTTGATGTCTCAAAATAGAAGTTAATAAAGAAGTGCAACCGAAAGTAGATCGAACAATAATACTCAATTTCCTTCTTAAAATCAAAGATCCATTTCTCCTTCAAATCAGATATCAAAATAAGAGTTATAAAAAGCTAATAGAAATAATAATAAAGAGATTCTTGTTCCTAAGGGTATGTAAAATTAAAATTAAAAAGTTAATTATGATAGTCATTAAATTGATAATTAAGTAATTTTGAAATAAATCAAAAATATTCAAAATTCAAAATTAGAATCAGGAATTAATTGCAAATAAAAAAGCAAATCATTTTTATAATTTACTGATTAGTTAATTGAATCTTAAGATTGCTATGAACATCTTAAGGATAAAGGTACTTAATAACACAGACTGTCAAATCCTAATAAGGAAAACTAACACATAGCCTTGAGTAGTCTAATGAATAGAAAATAAAGCGGGGCTAGTCTAAAAAGGTCAGAAAATAGCAATGCCTCTATATTCAACTGTAAAGGTTTGGGATACTTAAGTAATTAGGAATCTTTGGATGAACTATTCAAAAAGGAATGATTTATATAAAGATTGAAAAACAAATCCTATTCAATTAGTTATATATAGATATTATTTCAAATTAATTTATTTAGCTTAGTATTCAAACAACAGAGAAGAAGGAGGAAAATTTAAATAGCTGGAAGACTATATATGTTAGTTTAATTACACGAATCATTTTATCATTAAAGCTACTATAGGGCACTTTACAACTCCTTATCCTCAATTGGCTTTGATATAAAGATATCCATTCCACTTTCAAATCCTACTCTTTTGCTTTCATTATCTGTAAATCCACTACATCCTATTATCTTGCATCTTTTAACTTATTTCTCTACTTCCATTTGTCTTACTAATTTAGAAGTCTAATATCCATTTAAGTAAGGCATATTAATATCGAGAATGATAAATTTAATCCAATTGCAACAATAATCTTAATTTTTATACCAATTTTATAGAATTTCTATGCATTCTTAACCACTTTAAGCTTTTAGATAGGTGTATTTCATTCGATCTAGTTTCCAACCTAGTGTTTGCAAGTTGATTGGTTCATCATCAGCGATAATAATCTTAGGACATTTACAATTTTATAATGGTTCCATGGATAAATCTTCGAATCTCTTCTGAATTAGTATATTTCGATGACTGCTCTCTTTCATGATGAGTGCTTTGGATTCCTTCGGAGTTGATGCTTAATTTTCACTAACATCCTGAATTTTAAATACAAATCTAGTTCCTTTATCTACTCCTTTTGAATCTACTTATAATCCTTCATCATTTCCGCTTAATTTCTAAGCTAGCACATTGCTTATCATCAATCCTAAGCCTACTCCTGACGTATTCATATTTTTAGTATCTTCCAATTTCCCAAATGGTTAAAACAATTTATTTTTATCTTCTGGCTTCAAACCTACTCCTGTATCTTCAACACAGATTTCTATAAGCTTTGGCTATAGCAATTTAGCTGTTACAGTTATTCCACCAACCTTGGTGAATTTGGTGGCATTGCTAATAAGATTAAATATTATCTGTTATATTCTTTATGAATCAGAATTTATTATCTGAGGAATTTTATCGTCATATTGTAAATCTAATTTCAAATTCCTTAAACTTACAGGATATTACATAATTGATATAGCATCATTCAATAATTGATATATTGAAAAATCCTTGCATGTCAAATTAAATTTTCCAGCTTTCAATTAAGCTAAATCCAATAAATCATTAGCCAAACCTTAAATTGATATTGCAGAACTCTGCAAAGGCTACAGGTATCTAATGTTATTTTAGTATTGATTACTTTGAAATCAAGTTGTTATCTTGTTAAAATTGAATTTTCAATTATTAATTTATTTCAATTATAGCTCCTAATGGATTACGCAACTCATGAGAAACATAGGCCAGCATCCTAGATTTGTTTTTATTTTGCTATTATAACACTTTGAATTGGTTAAATAATGACACATCTCTTATCAGAAGTAATACACTTCTTTTATTTTCATAAATATAGGGTTTAATTGTTATCTGGATCAATAATCCAGTATTACACTCACTCTAAGACTTATCTTCTTATAATTCGTTATCATGATCTTCAGAAGATTCTTCTATCATACACAACATCTTTTTGACTTCGGGTGAAAATTTGATTTTATCCTATCCCTTATATGTTCTTTAGGAAGGAAAAGATTATTATCTTTAAAATGGAGATGACAATCCGTTTTTCTCCGTTACTTTTTCTGATAAGGCCTTATCCAATTCTTATTTTAGGGTTTCAGCTTTACTGAGTTCGGCTTGAAAATAGTAATCGGTTTGATTGTCATCGAAATTGTTATTGAAAATGCTCTCTTTAGAGTTCTCATTGTTTATTTATTGATCAAATTGTTAATCGAAAGGTTAATTATATTCACGTTAATTAAATTTTAGCTTTTTGTCCAAATTTGAAAAGAATTTGTCAAACTATGCTTATTCCTCAAATTGAAATTTCGAACTATAATTCTTTAATTCATACAAACGAGGCAATATTTAATCTTGTCTATTTTGAATATGTTTTCTTCCCAACAAATTGTAGACTTGATTATTGTGATAATCAATCTTATTTTGATCATTGATTATTAATATTCCCTCAGGAAACTAATTGAATAAAATCTCATAAAAGGTTTTTTACTATTCTATTTATTCAAGAACCGATGGATCCCTTGAATATAATGAAGAGTTTTTTCCTAATCCTTAATTCAATGGCATAAATTTAATTTGATTCGAGTCTTCATCAAATATCTGTTATTGAGGACTCTCTATTTTCTCAGTAAAACTATGAGAACAAGGTTTCTGTAGAGGCAACTTCTTTACCTACTAATTTGTTTTCACAATAAATTAATATAATAGTAGCAAACCATACAAAGCTTCGCCAAAAATGATCCCAATTGCAGACGAATCAATTAATAGATAAATTGAAGTCAAATTTGCTGAAGCAATTACAACCAAGAGGTATCCAACTCTAACTATTTAATTTTGGATCGTGGAATCAAATTCTAGTTATATTGTTAATCCCAACCAAAAATACTGAAATCTACTTAGGAATCCATCATTTATCAACCCAAGATCAACGCTGCCCAAACAAAATAGAATTTAAAACTTACCATAGTGATTTAAATATCAGTTATTATTGCTCAACGCATGTATTCACATATCTATTAAAAGGTATAAAGAGCATAGTTAAGATCATACTTAAAATAACTTAAAAGTATTCTGAATTATGATTAACTAATTTTATTGTAAGCACCAATATAAAATAGGCTAGTTGAATTACTACTCTTAAATTTACATTATTCATTATATTATAATAATAAAATTAATCACTCACACTCTAAACTATAAAACATACTTATTTTAAATGCCATCTATTATTTTAATTCATTTGGAAGAATGATAGTGACAATCATTTAATATTTAAACACACTATTTATAATCATATCAATAATTTTCTAAGTAATTACCATTCTCCAATTCAATCTTTATTCTAGATAGTTGTTGCTTTCTACTTTCAGTTAATCTGTTAGTTTTGGCTAGATTCTTTAGTTCATCCTCAAATTTTACAACTTGATTCTCTGTTGCCTTGAATCTGCCCTCCATATGTTGTTTAAGTCTCTTTTATATTGAATAAAATTAAGAGTAGGATAAACTATCCTTTTTATACTCTTTAATTTTATCTTATATGCTATAATCCCTATTGTGTATGCAATAATATAATTGTCTATTGAATTTATCACTTAACTTATTCTTTTCTTCATATGACTCATTTATCTGATTTACTAACTGAGGTAACACTTTGCTATCTCTTACTTTTTCGTACTTCCTATACAATTCGATTTCTTTGTTTTTATCAATCTATTTTCTGTCTTCACAGTCAATAATAGATAATTGCCTTTTCACATTCTCTGTTTTTCCAAATACTGTGCTGCCACTTGTATTTAATTTAAGTGTGTGTTGTTTCCTTGCAGATTTGCTAGGTGTATTTGAATGATAAGTATTTGGTTTATGCTGAGTAAATACATAATCTGAAAGATCTAATTCCTTCTTGATTTTTTCTAATTTCTCAATATGATTTTCTACTCTATTCTTTTCATTCTTAATTGTTTTGAGCAATTGGAGTTTATCTTATGAATGGAAATATTCTTCAATGTTCGGCAATTAAATTGAATAGTTGTAATCAACTGATATTCTCTTTAGTTTGAAATTCCTTGAGGATTTGGCTTCAAGTACTCTAAATTTAATCAACCTATATTACTGTTAATTTTATTCATTAAGCAACTACTTTAAAATAGTTTAAGCTCTTTTTTGTCTTATGATTGGACTCAATTCACTTTTATATTCTCTCTGAGTAGGACTAATATTGTTTGGTTTTATGTTGGTAAACTTTTCTAATCTCACGCTGCCCTTATAAATGATTTTTTTTTATTCGAAGAATTAAACTTTATTATCTTTATTTTCTTTGATAAATTTCATTCTAAAAATTATCGAATTATGCAAATATTAACAATTATATTTAAGAAAATTGATTAATATTAAAAAAGAAGGATTTTATTTAAAAAATATTAAATTAAAAAATTTAAAAATATTTGGGTCCAATGTTACCCCTAAATTTTTTATGTATGTTAATCTTTGAGATTTCTGTGTATATTTCTATATTTAATTAAAATGGGTAATATTTGTGTTTCAGACAGTGATTCATTAATTAATGAAGACTCATAAATAAATTTCAATAAAATAGACTCCAGGCCTGGAATTAACGCAGTAGCACTCCCAGCAAATAAATCCTTGGAGAACATTCCAATAATGCCTTCCCCAGACTCTGCTTATTCAATCACTTATATGGAGAGCATGGATGTGATTTAATTCACAAGTCACAAATTTTTAATTCTTTAAAAAAATAGTGTTTATATTGGCGAAATCAATTAGAAATTCTAAAAGAATGGCAAAGGAAACCTTTATTTACAAGATGTGGATAATAATGGAAACTAAAAGTTTGCTGTTAAGAAAGGAATGTTTATAAATGATAAATATTAAGAACCAGCACAAACTTCACTTTTTGGTGCATGTTTGGATGTACCTTCTGATTCTGAAATCACAGAAGAATAAGAATAATAGAAATCAATAATCTAGAATAATCATTAAAAATATAACAAACTAATAAATGATAAAGATCTAAATTCTATTACTGATAAAAATTAACTTAGAGCGAATATTGTTGATGGATATATCCAATATCTTTAATAGCTTGATGAATAATTGTATTGGGACACTCCTCCTTAAAAGAGAGAGAAATTTTAGAGAACTATCATCTTCTAAAGCACATGTTCTTTGGAAGACTCTAACCAATTTTAAAAAAAACTACTTAGATAATTCGGATTTGTTTAGTTTTGGTTAATCTATAAAAAAATTGGATTTGTTATAGAACATGATCACAATCATTGGTATTTCGTTAAAGTATCAATTACTGAAGACAAATTCATTATCTATGTATATGATTCCATTAAATGCAGTAGGCCATTTTATGAAAACATAAAACACAAACTCACTAAACTGTTCTAAATATTACTGAATCGTAAACTCTAACCAAATCTAGTTATCAAAGAAAATATTCCTTAATGCTACAACAACTATGATAATGCAGTGTACACTTGCATTTTTGCAATAATGTTTAGATCCAATTGTAGAAATAAATTGCTTAAAATGAGTCCCTTAGAAATGAGATCAGAGTTACGAAAACTATTTCTAAGTTGATTAAAATTTAACTAATTTTATAATTTTTTTTTTCAAAATTTTATGGCTAATTCTGTTTAGGGGTCTATATGATTCTTTTCAGAGATAAGAGTTTATATTCATGTGGATTTTCTTTTAGATTTATTATTTCGATATTTTACAAATTTTAGAATAAAAAATAAAGTTATCTTTGATTTCCTAAAACCTTGATTGAAATTCTAAAATTCTTAACATTCCATTTTTGGTTCACACATTTAATTGTTGTAATTATTTGACAAATGACTTACATTCATCTATTTAAATTTCTTTAATTGTCTATTATTTTTTGCAAATTTATAATTTTCTTCTTCGAACTCTAAAGAATAAAATTATAATAATATCCTTAGTTCTCGTATTAGTTGTACTTTTGAGACCCAAAATTTTATTATTGACCTCTAAAATCATTATAGGATATACTTAATTTTATTTTTCATTCTTCCTAAAAATATTTGATTATTAAACATAAGATATCATAATATATACAAAATTTAAATTATTTAATTAATAATTTATCAGATTTGATAAATCTAAAGTAGTTTGATTAAGTTACTTATTGGGAAATTTGTATACAAAATTAAACGTACTTAAGTAAGATTATATCAAAATAGTAACATCAAACAAAAGGATGAGCCAGTGCAACTAATCAGATCGAAAAGTACATATTTATGAGGAGAGTGATTGTGTACGTTCGTAATCAAATTGGACTTACATGGATTAACTAAAAATAGAATCAAAAAATGAAAAGTTTTTTTTAATTATTTGTTTATTTGTATAACTTTATATGGGATCACACTGTTCAAATTGTTCTTAATGCTAAAAAGATAGATTAGATTAGATCAATGAAGTCACCATTACGAAGAAATCAGAAAGCAATAAAGCTGTTATCTCATCTTGCTCTTAGTAATCTTATTAAAATTATACCCATTAACACAAAGTTTATTATTATAGCTATAATAGTAAAAATCAACTAGAAGTTTTGGTGAAACTTAGAAGTAAGCATAGAAATAGATTTTATAAACTAAAATGGCTATTATGATATAAAAATAATGGAAGGGATACAAAGCAAGGAAGGCTTATTTATAGACCAAACTGCTGTTCAATAAGTCTTAGAATGACTAAGTAACCACAGATAAGAAGAGTAAGAGGGGGAAGCAGAAATATTTTACCAAAGAAGAGTATGAATGTATTTTAATATACTTATGAAGTAACAATCAAATCTGAATCACTTTAAAGGGAATATAGATCAAAATATAAATTTATTAGTGGATCAACATATGAGGGAGAATGGTTGGGAGATAAGAGAGATGGATAGGGAATACAAGTATGGGAAGACGGGGCCAAATATATTGGATAATGGAAAAATAATTAAGCATTTGGTTAAGGAACCTTTTATCATGTCGATGGAGATGTTTATGAGGGCGAATGGTAAAATGATAAAGCAAACGGATTTGGAGTCTACAAACAATCAAATGGAGTTATATACTTTGGATAATGGAAGGATGATTATCAATAAGGACATGGATAAGAGAAATGTATAAGATTGTTGTTTATATCATAGGGATTGATAATTCACTTTATGAGGGACAATACTTTGAAGGTAAAAAGTAGGGAAGAGGGACTTATAAGTGGCCTGATGGCAGCTATTTTGAAGGAGAGTGGTTTGATAATAAAATAAATGGTGAAGTAAAATTTTTAATTGAAAATAGGGAGAATACGTTTGGGGGGATGGAAGAAGGTATAAGGGTACATGGAAGGATAATAAAATGCATGGTTATGGAGTGTATCAATGGGGAGATGGCCGATCTTATCATGGTGAATATGTTAATGATAAAAAATAAGGGAAAGGGAAGTATTTTTGGCCAGATGGGAAGGTTCTAGAAGGAGAATGGCATGAAGGTAAATAGAACGGAAGAGGTAAATTTTTAATGGCAGACGGAAGAGTGAAATATGGGATGTGGAATAATGGAAAAAGAATCAATCTCGAATGATAATAGGAATGAATAAGTAGTGTCTTAGAGTAACAAGAATAATAAGAGTATTATTATTCAATCTTTCTATAAATGTTATATATTTAATTAGCAATAATTTTATAATACGTATTTAATCATTCCAAACTTTAATTTTAATGTTAAGAATTAGGTTCGGCTACATGATGACGATGACCCTAATCCTTTTTGAAACAATCGAAACACTTTTCACAACAACCTTTTTAATTATCATATTTTTCTGGGACTACTTTGTCGATTCGAGGGAAACAACATTCTGTCAGAGTGTTTCTATATTTGTAGATCAATAGAATTGCAATGAGTAATATTACAATTGCAATTATTAATCCGGCTCTTGCCTTTCCTTCTAATTACTTAATTGAAGAAGCAGGTTCTTTGATATTTATTTCACATTAATACCTTCATATAACTAGTCTTCAAAAAATAAGATTTTTGGTTACAATTGGGGTTAATACTCCTTTGAACTATTTTAGGCTGTAACATTGGATCCATTTGTTGCATATAATTCATTATACCCGTAGAGATGTAGAATAAATCCAATTTCTAACGAGTATCTGCCAAACAAAGGAGTAGATTTAGTAACTTTAATGGGAACCTAGAAGTAGTTCTATCCTAACATTTCAACGAGTGTCAAATCGTAATCTATGTAAGTAGTATCGGATTCTGATAAGTATGTCCAATTGATAAACCTTACGTAAGGGTTTATGTTGAACAATAAGGAACTGCATAAGGTGTTTGATTCAACTCCAGTGCATGCCTTCTATTCATATTTGAAGTATTCCTTCTCTGCTTCTTCTGAGGCTGTGGCAAATTGAATGTATTACTATGGATCATTGGGATCTTCAGGAATTGGAGCTGAATATTTGTATTATTGAGGCAACAAGGCACTGATCCCTTTTGTGTAATTACTCCAAATGATTGTGTAATTCTCTTCAGGATAAAATACACTAGTATTCAGTAGATTTTAGTAATAGTTATAGCAGACTGTTCTCACATTCTATATAAATTCAATAATTGTACATCCACAAACTAACTACTCCTAAACTAATTACAAGGGGGATTACCATCTATCTTCTTATTGTAATAGTCTTCGTCTACAACTAATTTGCAGTTCTTAGATGGTTACTCTATTTCACAGACTATAGGATTCCAATTCTTGCAATAATCTCCATAAAAGTCAGGAGGACACAAACACCCATAATGCAGTCTATACCTAATGGTGCAATTGGCTGAATTTTTGACTGAAATATCTTAGTATTAAAGATAGGTGACTTTCTATTTGAAGCAGTAATGCTAAGTCACGTTGATAAGAATGGGCTAACCAAGATAACACTTGAGTGGGATCAGTGGTCCTTATCTTAAATATTCATTAATTGTATTATTAACTACTGGAACTGGAGGATTGGGTGTTCCTTTCTCTTCCATCATTCTGACTACTCTAGAGTGTTTTAGATCTCCGTTAGTCTCTGGAATAATAAACTATTCTTCATCATCTGAATCTAAGCTTCTTAATCCTAATGTTTATCTTATCATTTCCATTGGTGTTCTAGTAACTAAGGCTTATGCTTTATGTCTCCATTCTTCATATAATGAGTTGGTATTCTTCAATAAAGAGCTAGCTGCAATACCCCATATTACCAACAATAAAAACATGATTATTTATTTAATGATATTCTTAAGATGTTTTCATTTAATTCTATTCAACGACAACCATGTTCAATTACTCACATCAATTATAAAGCATATCAATATTTAAATCACAAAAATTCATATAATAATTTAAGATAATCCTTTAATCCCTTTATTATAGAAATTGTTGACACTGTCTCTATGTTCAAATCGGAAACATAGCTATCCCTCAATTTTTATGTTTCCTTAAACCTTTTTAATATCGTGATTGCCTCTTCCACAATTTAACTTTGGCTTATTAAAATTTCCTTCCGCTCTTTATTGATATAGATCTAATAATAATCAAACACCAATTCATACAGCAAATCTTTTTGGATATTCAAATGTCTACTCTAATTCTTTAAGATCTTGAACCAAATCTTAAGAATAAGACTTCATCAGGGTTTGTAACAATGAATAGTAAAATTGCAGCACATCAATTTCATAATCAATTGACATAGGAATCGTACTCAACAAATCTTTTTCCTTCCCGTATTTTATCTATAAGAATAATCGCAAAACGCTTATTATGTCTATATTCAACTTATTCTTTTTTATTCTAAACTCCTTGGATAAAGATGAAATAGGTATTTCGTAACCGTTGTATGAAATCTTGTCTACAATTGATTCATCCTCATATATTAGTTTTTTAATAATTATTGTGTTCAAGATCTAATCTAAGGTTTTCTCTTTATCTTCCAGGATCACAGTATTCAGCCATAACTTTAATTAGTCAGCTAATTACTCTAAAATTAAACGAACTGTACACATTCTCTAGCAATGCAAACCCATACCAACATATTAAAAATCTATTTGTTCTCTTCCCGTATGAAACAGTCACTTATTGAAATTTCTTAATTGGAGCTGTAGTTGTAATGCAAAAGTAGGCTTCTTAATCATATTCATCTAACCAATCCCATTATTAATCTTCTCTACTTTACACATCATCAACTTCAGACAAAATCTTTTCTTATTGTTGCTTCCTTAATCTCCCATTGATAATTAACAGCTTTGCCTTAATGGCTTCAATCTGATATTATGGTAATCCACGAATTATTACCTTATTTTTCTTCTCTACTATATCTATAATACATCATACCTGGATTCAAGGTTACTGTAACAATAGGTTGATTTTTCAAATTGATAGACTAAAACTCTTTCTCTATTCTTTTTTATTCTTCTCTAATTTTCCATTCTGCCAATTCCTTAATCTTCAAAATCTCATATTGTTAAAACTTCTCTAATTTAACTTCTTCATCAGAATCATTATCTTCACTATCAGATGAAGCGATAGACTCCAAATCCCATATATTCAACTTCGGATCTTAAATAATCTATTCATAATGGATCTTATTTATGATATCTCTTTGCTCATTTATAGATGCTCCTTCCAAATCTACTAGTAAGTCCTGATCTCTTAAACACTGTTTATTCTCTAAAATAAATTTAATTTTCTCATCTTTCCATTTCTGTATCTCATTATCAGCCTCAATACCTAAAATACTCAAATTCATATTGTTTCTTTTTATGACATATTGTTTTTGAAAATTAGCTTACACCTCTGATTTAGAAAAACTACCCTTTTCCAATGCTGAATGAACCATATAATGTGTGCATGCTTTATTAGAATGATTAAGGAAATCAGCTATGGGAACTAGACAAGTAGATTTAAGAGCCCATCCAAAACATCTGCTCATAACGCATTCTATTGCCCAAAAAAAGTCACTTTTATCTGTTATTCTTGGGGCTCCAAATATATCCTAAGCGTTATCAAAGATTAACTTGGCCTTACTCCATAACCCTAAGAAATCTTATTTAATTAATTAAAATTCTTCTAATATAAGAGGATCTTCAATTTTCTGCAAATCCTCATTCGACCAAGCCATTAATGTGTTGCTAGTTTAGATCGCCTAAATGTAAGGGTAATAAAATGACTATTCCCCTTTCTTCTTTTCATTGAACATGTAAAATGCTCAGATACAAGAGATTGATACTTAAAATGTTAAACTCTGCCTCATTAGTTTCTTCTTCATCAAACATTTCTGGATGACTGTTGTACACTGTTATGAGAGTGCTCTACTTGCATTTATCAGGTGAAATAATCAATGATTAAGGTATGCAAATAATTACCTAATGACATTTAAATCAATAATAATACAGTATCTGATGGCAAGTCTTCAGAGGCGACTACTCCTATGACATCTCCGAATGAAGCTGGAAAATCCACACCCTTCATCAACACTCCATTCTATACACCCCACTATAACAGCCCCTTGTATTTTGGATTTGATTTGACTTCATTTGTTTTGTATTAATTAAATTCCATTCAATAATAAATTTAAATAACTGAATATCAATTTGATCTAAACTCTATACATTAAGTGGAGAGTACAATTTTGATATTTACGTTTAATTAGTCTGTTAATATAATTTAATGATAATAATATATATCTGTAAAGGATTGATTAAAGATTATAATTTTAATCATTATTGTTATTATAGTTGCTGCTATTAGTTCTGTTATTCTGATATTTCTTGATATTCTTTCACATTACTTATATCTAATTTAGTTATTTATTTTTGCAATGATCCATTTCCCTAAAAACTAAGATAGTGATCGACTGTCAAATTAGGAATATTGTATTCCTTCTTAAATTTAATGAGGAAAGGAATCATAAATGTTCCCCAACCTAGTCTTTGTAATTGAAATGGAGCTTGTTTAACTGTAACTACACTTGGACGAAAAGTTGCATGTAATTAATATGTAACAGATTCAATCATATTATTGATGTCGAAATTCTTAAGTGCAACTCTGTCCGATTCCTTATTATAATCCATTTTCACAACTAAAGTCCATTGGTGTTAATTTTTATCATTATTTTTGATTTTTTCATATAGGTTACCATATACAACACTGACTTTAATTTGATTTGGTAACATCATTTGTTATTAGAGAATCTGCTATTATCTCTATACATATAGTTCAGGATTACTCTCCTTAATCTTTTTAGCCAGTTCTTAATTAATAATTAATGGTTCATTCTTCTGGTAAAGTTATCTGCATAATGGACACTTGTAGGATTAATTGTTGTAATCTAGTAAATCTACGATACAAGCAGAGCAAAATATATGATTGCATTGAGAAAGTTGGATAGGATCCACAGAAATGCTTAAACAAATTGGGCAATCGTAGGATTGTTACATATTTATAAAATTAATATATATTATACTTGCTAACAAAATATATTGCACACCGTTCTGATGAATTATAATTTTATTAAATTAATAATAAATAAAATTTTACATTATATGGATTAGCATTTACCATTTAACTCATCTTATTTTATGAATATTAAGATACCTTTTTGCATCGTTTTTAAGAAAATAAAAATAATGCGCATAGAAAATTGAAAAGGAAAAATATCATAATAAATAAACCAAAAGATTTGAAATATTCTATAATTATAATATGTATTGATTAACTAGTTAAAGTACTTTATCGAAATAGGGTGAACATTTTTCATAAATTCATCTAATTTTATTATAATTTGAGATTAAATAATGAAGTATCATTTGATTAATTGTCTTAAAAGTATCCTCTCTTAATTTTATTTTTTAAGTAGAACTTATTTTTCTATTTCAATATTGTTCCATTATCATACTTATGTCTTGATTTGATAGAATATTTTAATAATTACCTAACAATATATATTCATTTATTTATTTAATTTGCATTAATAACCACTTTGATCGTTGTTAAAATGGAGATGAATAAGAATAGAGATTGAAACATTTGAAATGTAATTTAAGTATTGATGAAAATCATTTGTTAGCAAGAGGATCAATTCATATAGATATATACTACATATTCGTTATTACATTTTCTTAGATGATTATTAATATTTCATTCTAAATTCTATCTTATTTATGCTTGATATGTATAATAACTAAATTTTGCAATTAAATGGATTTTAAATTATTGTTTTTTTTAATTAATCAGCGTTTTAATACAACATAGAATTAAACTATTGAAAATTAATTATAATTACATTGTTTATATCTCATTAAGAAGTAGATAATGAAAATAACTTTGTTGTATTATATTAATTTCTCTATAAGTCAAATATAAATATAATTTCATTGAGATACTTTTTACAGTTCAAATGATCCATTAAAATTTTGATCTTATGTTCCTTAACATCCATAAACTTTACAATTTCCTAAGAACTTATTTTCTTATTCATTAAAGGATCCTTAATATAGTTAAAGTAAGTATATATAATCAATTGATTTTATCTTCTGAAATAAATCAGAATCGAGAGAAGTTCTAAGATGAACTTGTATTTCTTAGTTAGATTATAGTACTATATTTCCTTCAGCAGACCATAGATTTTATTATTTTTCTTGAGTTACTTATAATTCTAGTTTATTATGGTGTACTTATATTGTTTTGAATTTAAGTAACTTAGTATTACATTTTTAATTATTGATCGTTTTAAGGTTCCAAAGGGAATTTTGTAGAGAATCTTAGATTTAGCTTATTTTAACTATGTTATTTTGAATTGAGTACATGTTTTCTTAGATTAATCTCTGTTCTATATTCTTCTTGAGTTTTTTTCTTCTTGAAACTTCAAAAATGACTCCACAGACATATATAAGTATCATAACACATAAAATGAGTATGATTATAGGATAACTTTGATTATCTTCTGTATTTTATTTTGACGTAAGATTTTACTCATTTTTAAGAATTTGCTCCTAATTGACACTTTCTGTTATATTTTGGAGATAAGGGGAGTGTAAAAATTTTGATTATGGGTTTGTTTACATTTGCTGTGTTTATTACATTGATTAAATAATGCTCTCTGCATTAAGAATAATTAAGTTGATTATATAAAATTGGGAATCAATTTTAAACAATTTTTGTATTCTATATTTCTTAAAAATAGAATGATTATATACTAATAATGGTTTAATTTAATATATATACTCTTATTTATACATATACTGATTTTTCAACTTAATTCCTTCTCTACTTCAGCCAAATCCTTGGGCATCTCATCGATTTTAGTGTTGTAATACTTTTCAACTTCTAATAAGAGATTAGCTTCTTGTTGAGCGACCATGTTGATTGCAACTCCCTTTCTACCATATCTACCAGCTCTTCCAACTCTAAAAAATAGATTAAAATGAATGATACCTGTGAATATATTATTCCTTGAGTCTTGGGAATTCATAATTGATAACCAAAGATAATTATTGAACATCAATACCTCTTCCCATAAGATCTGTCGATACTAGGATTCTTGCAGCTCCCTTTTTGAATTCTTACATAACCTAAAGAGTAGAGATGATAAAATTACTTATTCTCTTTCCTTTTATTCCATTTGACTGTGGATTTTACTGACTGTAAATCCTTCTGCTGTCAATTTATCATGGAGATCATCGACTGTCTTTTTGGAATTGCAAAATAAGATTGATTATGAAACTGTAAGATTCTTGTATAATTCAACCAAAACTCTGAACTTTTGGTCTTCTTATTAAATGGCAATGTAGAACTATCTAATACCTTCCAAGGTCAATTATTCTTTCTTGACTAAAATCTTTGCTGTTCCTTCTCTTAAGAATTATTTACTCAATTCAATAATTTCTTATGGGAATGTTGCACTAAACAATGCTATATAGAATATATGATGAAAGTATACCAATTTAGATATCTCCTGGTACCATTTTAAGGATTTCAGCGAAGTTATCACTGAATCCTTGATCCAACATCTAATCAGCTTCATCAACAACCAATAATCTCATGAATGTGGCATCCAAATATTTGTTTTTCATCATGTCAATCAATCTTCCTGGAGTGGCAATGATGATGTGCACACCTTATTTGCATTTCTCTCTGGTTTCTTGAGTTGAGGTTCCTCCAATGCAACAAAAGGCTTCGATATTTAAATATTATCCTATTCCTTTGACAACATCATAAATTTGCTTTGCCAATTCTCTGACTGGTGCCAAAATGATGACTTGGGTCTTTCTCTAATTTGGGTCAATTCTTTGTAAGGCACCAATGGTGAATGTACCTGTCTTTCCAGTTCCTATTAGATATAGTAAAATTAGAGTCTTTACCTGATTAGGCTTGTGCCAATACGTCTTTGCCAAGTATGATTGGTTTAATGGCCTTTTGTTGGATGGCTGATGGTCTTTCGAAACCGTAAGAGAAGATGCCTCTCAATAAATCTTTGCTCAATGTTAATTCTTCGAAAGTTTCGACTTGCTTGATAATTAACAATAATCATTTACCTCGTTCCAATTTTCTTGTAAATCCTATGTAGCTTGATCCATAAATATTCTAATGAAAATATTTTTAATTTCTTACTTTCAATGTCCTTTTTATTTAAAAAAAAAGATTTAAATTAGAAACCATAATCGAATAAAATTAAAAAGGTACTAAATAAACTGGATGGTTGATCACCACAATCTAAGTAATGTTGATATTGATATTATTATTATTATTATAACTTTCATTTTCCACGGGCTATGGCTAAGATTTCTATGATTCTGAGGAACAACTAAATTATAGTAGCGTAGAGCAACAATGATCCAATCACATAATCGTCAATTGATAATTTTAGTTTCTATAATAATATTATAAATATTCTTACTCCTTTGCCCATAATCAATTAGGTTTCCCATATCAAATAGAATCCATAGATTACTATAAATAGGGTACACAACAAGATATAGACAGCATAACTCCACCAAATGCATAACATGATGGCTAACATCAATATGGTTGGACATAGAATGAAAATTGCACCAACTAAAAATATGGAATAGTTGATACTTTTGAAAGAGAAATCAGTTTTCGTCTTGCATGCATATAATGTCAATGCCAAAACTATTATAAAAGTGATTCCCCAGGCCTACCAAACAATAGCCTATCCCCAATACATGGCCATTAATATGCAAAAGGTTGTTAGAGTGAATCCGAAGAATACAATGTATAGAAATAGGACTATGTAATTAACAGGAGCCTAAGTTTTACCATATAATTTACTTTTCTTGCAAGATTTCCACCACAGTATAGTGCACATTACATTATCAATGCAACAAAAAAAGACACATAGAATAGCCAAGTAGGATAAGGTTAGATAGTTTAATAATGATATGATTCACAATACATGGGTCCAAAAGCTTGATAATAACAAAGGATGACATCATCATCCAATTCTATCTATACTAGCCAATTAGCCATCCCTGTGTATAGTCCTAAAGCAATCATTCCTAAGGTGATCAAAAGTTCCATTGTCAAAAGAGTGTACACCTTTTTGACGAAATCTGCTCTAATGTAAGAATCTTAAAAGTCCCCCATGTCTAAATAATCTAAATCATAATATACATCCAAAATTATTATTAGCTTTTTAAGCTTTTCCATCTGATGTGTCAAAGGCCTAAGGATTATAATATTATTGTTGTTGTTATTATTGTTGATACTGCTGCTAAGTATTCTGATTGTATTAGTAATAATCTTGGTTAGAATTATTGTACATTTTTTAAAGATGATAAAAATATTAATTAAAGTTCTTCATATATCGATAGTTTAAAAATCATAAAATCAACGCATTATTAATTTATTCTATATTGTCTTTCTAGAGAACTTGTTTGCCGATGTTTAATCTCCATTTCTACAAGACTCAATAAAATATTATAGATCAATCTCCATTTCTGAAAAATTTAATATTAAATTTACAAAAATTAAGACACTCAAACTTCACTTTAACTTCATAACGATATCATTTATATTTTATTTTGACTATTTATTATATTATTATATAATACTCAAATATTATGAATCATATTATTTAACTAATATATTATTATAATAGAAAAAGATCCGTGTAACATAATGTTCTTCTATTTCTAATAACAGTTTTAGATATTGAGAGAACTGTGAACAGTTTAATTTATATTGAGAATATTTAAATAACTCATCAATTGGTTTGTTGAATGTGTAAATCAGTATACAATATATTTTGTGCTGATATATTTATGATTAATTTATATAACAGCATTAATAAATTCTCAAAATAAAGAACAATTACACGGAGAATGATATCAATAGTTGAAGAAAGAAGGGGTATGAAATGAAATAAGTTTTAGAAGAATAATAAAGATCTGAGTTTGAAGTTGAAGAAGTTCCACTTAGAATCTGGGAATAAGGTATAAATGCAATCATTATGTAGTTACTAATCAGATAAGATAAGAGATAGTGGTATTATCTACCAAATATTGATAATTAGTCTTTACAAAATCAATTATGGTAGAGCAACATTGATAAGGTTTTTTAAAAGGGTAATGGAGTACCTAAGATATTGTAAAAAAAATTAAGGATGATGAAGATGGGTAAATCCAACAGACAATGCAGTATTTGCTGTAATAGTTTCGAAAAAGGTAATAATCTATATATACTAGATGAGACAATAATATAACTTCCTTGCAAGCATATTTTCCATAAATCTTGCTTGTTTTCTTGGCTTGATCATAGTACAAAGTGTCCTAATTGTCGAAGTGATGTTTTGGATTTATTAATGAGTTAAGAGAGATGATTTACATTTCTATGGAAAAGATTATATTTAACTAATTCATGTCAAAAATTTAAATGATAAAAACAGATAAAGTAAACTATATATCACAAATCCTCTGTCTTTTCAATTCAAAGTAGCATTTCATTTCATTTAAATTCATGAGTCTTGGTCTCAGTCTCTTTTAAATTCCTTTAAAATTAAATTAATCTCAATAGTTCATCAATTTTAATAATCTTAGAATAGGTTATTTATGGTTATTATTGTTTTGTTAAGTTTAAATTATTGCATTTCAATTTTGATATTAAAGTTATTTTTTAGTAAGAATTATCATTAAATGAATATTTAAATGACTTTAATTTCTTTGAATGAGAAAATGAATCAACCTTCATTTTAAATGTAAATATAAAGTTTAAATAAGTCTGATATGCATTTAAGAATATAAGAATTACAAATGTTAATTACTTATAGAGTTCTTTTGAATATTCTAAAAGTAATTGTTATTTGGAAGTAATGAGAATTAAAAATTTATTTATTAATATTATCTGTTATGATGAATAACAACAATCGGAAACCATAATCATCAAAGGATACGAGAAGTAAAGTGAACTCCGGGGTGAATCGGAAGAATGAGAGTCCTTAAAAAAGAGTGCAATCAGCAGTATAATCAGTATGCAATAATATTATATAGGCTGATAAATCGGTTGACTCAAGTGGAAATCTAACAGAACAACTGAATATTATAGTGTAGGATTACTTGTTAAGATCTAATTGTATTAAAACATTAGAGCAATTCAAAATTGAATCACAATTCGCAACCGAACAAAGTAATGAAACCGAACATATAATTTTGGGGCATTTCGATAGAGGAGAAAGAGATAAGTTTTTCGAATCTTGGAGTCGATACATCCCTATTTCACAACGTCAAGACCATGATTCTTGGAAATTAGAGTTCTACATATAGATCTATTTCTTTATCTATCCTATTCATCCATTGTTCAAGAGGAAAGGCTAGATTGATAAGTATTCGATAAATCAATTGAAAACCTACCTCGACACAAAAGGAGGGGATTTATCGAAAACAAATGAAGTTCTTTCATTCTATGCATTGCCATATGTAAAAAATCCATAAACCCATCCATCCTTCTAGCATTTATTCACTCATGAATGGGTATCAGATTTGAGAATAAAATTGAAGGAATTTATTTAATCCATCTATGGATCAGATCAACATGGTAGTGTTTTAAAAAGATTGGTTTTATCGAAGGAAGGATCCACGAACAATCAACAATAAATTGATCAAAAACGTGTTATAGAAATGAAATAATTGCAACAAGAAAACTTCGAACTCAAAAAGAAGAATAATCAATAGATTTAGGCATTATAAGAATTAAATCATCTAGCCTAAAAAAATTTAACGGAAGCTTAAAAAAAATGGTTCTCTTTGACAGGAGAAATGTTGAAGATGCAGAAAGAGATGCTCAAATACATAGAAAGCAATAAGAAAATACCTGAACAGGTTCAACAATTCAAAAAGAAGATTACTTCCTATGACAAGTTCTTTAGTTAGAATTTGGAAGACTTGGTGAATAAGTCCGAGGACATTTCTCTGTTTAATAACATAACCTAACCAGATCATGACCTATCTGAAATTACCAATTAGCAATGTATGTTGTAGTCGTAATTATATTAATAGAGATCAATCCAGTTCAACAGTCAATCGAGGAGTACATTCCTTTAAATTATGGTAAAATCATTTAATTGTTCACAAAGTCTCAGAATTCAGTATTGATAGCAACTGTATTGCAAGCATTGAGGTGGAGAATTACCAGAGCTAGAAGTGCTTTGGAGAGGAGATCTGTTGTGGTTGCTTATTAAACTCATGATTTGATAGGAACTCATTAACGCAATATCATTTTAGCTTAGCATTTAATGTTCAAAGCAGCCCCTGTGATCTAATGTTAAACATTAAAATTAATGAATGCATTGGCATCAGATTACGATGGTAGAACTTATTTAATATCCAATTCTCAACTCATTAAGTTACTAATTGAATTAATCAAAAAAGATTAGACAGATTCAATAAAAAGGAAAAATGCCATAGGAACTTTATAAAAATTATCGTTAAGGAAATAAAGCCAAATTTGGATGCTTGATAACGATATCATTTATGTGGCTTTGACTATCTTATAAAGAGTATGAAATATTCATATTATAAATAGGAGAAATTTAATCTTAGTGAATACACCTATGAATACATAACTGCGTTGATTATGAATTTATCCTTGAGTTCAAGAGGTCGTGATGCTTTGTCTATGAATAAAGAATTAGCTTTTGAAGTGCTGTTTGAATTAATTGAATATCCCAATGATTAGATTAGGACCTTTACTAATGGAACATTTTATTCAATGTTTAGTAGGAGAGAACTGAGAGATTATGCATATTAACTGAACATCCCTCAAGAATTACCTAAGTTATTGTCGATTAGCGAAGAGAGATTCAAGAAATAAATTTAATATATGATTGAACAATTAGAGAGTAATGAAGACGATTATGAACAGTCATAATTGGAGGAGGATAATGATGTGGATGATTTAGAAGATGATGAAGAATGCCCAGTGGACGATGAGGATGAAGATGATTTAGACAACAATGAAATGGTTGTTGGAGAAGAATTATTGAAGAATGAATTTGCATTAGATAACGAACAAGCAGAATAACAAAGACAATTGATGGAATCCATAATGCAGAAAGAGTTGCAGTAGAGAAGTATCTTTTAAGAGCAATTGAGGGATTCTCAACTAGAGAAAATGCCTATTGGATGTAAGCATAATTTTTATCATTTTATCTAGAAGGTCCATTCATAGCTGATAGTCTAGCATAAATTAATCCTAATCAAAAACAAGTGTAACCATAAGCCTAGGCTTTCGTATCCAGACCAAAAATACCTAGAACTCCTCCCATTTAATAATATTATTAAAATTGATATAAATTGAAAATATAATATACTGAATTTTGATAATTTAGTAGTTAGTTTTAAATATTTTATAATCTATTCATGCAAATAAGACTGTCATTTAAATACTAATTAAATTTAGTAGGATGTGATATGTTCTTACTGTCAATAATAAGAATTATATATAAATTTAAGATTCGAAGCCGGAAGCGAATAACACTTAATGTGTTGATATAAAATGATTACATAAACTACTGATAGCTATTCTAATTCAATATGTTAAATTAATATATTTAGACTTTATCATGTAAACAAACCACAAAATTCGATTGATATATTCATTATGTAAAAATAATCATGATTAATCAGCAAACTGTTTTTAAAGGTTTTGAAGTATTAGAATACCAATCTGGTATTAATGTAATCATTTATTATTAAGTCATTTTAGATGCTTCTTCTAATATTTTAAATAAAAATAAATACCATTTGAAAATTCAAAGAGCTCAGAGGCACTAAGTTTGATTGTGCTTTAGATAGCTTTAAATTAATCTCTTAACTCATCGAAATAAGGATGTGCCAAAGATTAAAGAGGAGTGAATCTAGTTTTAGGACAGTAAGTCAATAATTTTGAGACTAGATCTATAGCTTTTGGATCTTTAGTTTTCAATACCTATTAAATTAATATAATATTGTACTCTTCTCCAATCTCTTTACTTTATAGCAGCAAATTAATACTGCTACATATCATAGTTTTTGTTCATGCTTAAGATCTACTCCTTAGAGGGTGTGCCAAGCACTTTTACGATTTCAACCATTTAGTCAACAGCCGAGTCTCCTAAAAATAATGGTTCTCCATTAATTAATTCAGCAATGACACAGCCAACAGACCAAACATCAATTTAGGTGTCATAATCAGTCGCTCCAAATATGAGTTCTGGGGCTCTGTAACATCTTGAGCAAATATAGGCGATATTTGGTTCCCCTGATATCAATCTCTTGGCACTTCCAAAATCACATAACTATAATTTATTGGTTTCTGGATTAACTAAAACATTGTGTGGTTTGATATCTCTATGACATATTCCCAAAATTGAAATATAACTAGGGATTATTAATATTTAGTACGCTATGGATCTGAGCAATTGATAACTAAAGATTTTAACTAAGAGTTCAGGCATCCTCTTGAAATCCTTAATAAATGACTTATTATAGGAATAGAGAGTGTCTGAGAAGTACTCCATTACTACATTTAAGTAACTTTCGTCTTTGTTCTCTGCTGGAGTGTAGAAAGCATGTTTCATCTTCAATACATTCTAATGATCTAATTCTTGGAGGATTTAAAGTTCTCTATTTTTATATCTTCTGTCTTGTAAGACTTTCTTGATGGCTACTATTTCTCCAGTCTCATTCACTTTAGCCTGCAAATACTAAAATTATTTACTTTGTAAACAACTCCAAACGATCCGCTGCCAACAACTTTCAGATTTGTGTAAGTAAAATTGCTATAATCATATCTTTCAGTTGTTGCTGGCATCAACACAGATTTGGTGCTATTCTTTTCAATCGAAAGAGGTTTGCGAGACTGTTTTTTGATTGTCTATTGTTGGAATGATTTTAGTTGATTTTCAAACTTCCCCACATAAATAGAAGTCGTGGGCTCTTCCTTGGTTTTCTTAAAAGGCTACTTGGCCATTTGATTCATTTTTAAACGAGCTTTTAGGTTTGAAATATCCTATAATGTTTTAATCTCCTTATCCATTTCTTCCACTTCTGTAACTACTCTTCTGTTTTATTCTTCCGACTATCATTTAAATACATTCATCTACTTGTTTCTTCAATTGTTAATTGAGCATCTTCTGAAACATTATTTTTAACGTAATTTTTAATTATATATAAATAATTCAAACAGTCATCTCTATTTTTATTTAGCTTGTATATATTACAAATATTCCTATTTTTATTAATCATCGAATAATACTTCCTTGCTCATCTTAATTGTAAAAACTAATTCATCCTATTATGTCTTTGCCTTAGCTTATGATGACTTCACCTATTAGGGTTACTTGCTCGCCTTTTTATTGTTTTACGCGATTGGAGTTGCCTGTTTCTATTTATTGGTGCTGTTGTAATTGCTGGAAGCAGTCATTTTATTCGGAGGTGATTGAATCCTTTTTGGTTGCACTGATACGAATTCTGTTACTTTTTAAACATTTGATTAATTATCCATAACAGGAGGAGGTGTGGTATTCTTGATAGGAGATGATCTATAAATTGGATTTATTCATGTACTATTGATTATAATTTTAGGTTTCTTCATAGATTAATCTATTAACATCAATATGAGGACTTATGAGCTTTCTTAATCTCAATTTCATTTTCTCAAAATAACCAATACGATAATCAGCATAGTTTCTATCGTAAAACTTATCAAAATCATCCATCCTCCCTCGAATCTATTATTATTATATTATAAACTCTAGCCTATAGCACGATTAAATCTTGGTATGCTTATTTATTTCCTTTTCTGACTTCGTCACATAAATCTATGCATTATATCATCAGCTAATACGAATATAGTTTATGCAAATCTATTCTACTTCCTGTGCGATGCTAGGCAATAAATCCAAGCGTAAGACTAACCATTACTCTGCACTCATATTATTTTTAATAATTAATTTTTATAATCAGTTCCATTTATTTTCTACAAAATACTTCTGTATATATTTACAAGTTCTAAATTTTGAATCTCATTCTAAAGTGAATCAGAGAGAAAGATTGTATATATTTTACCAATGTTCATTAAAAACATGTTATTATTATACATAATAAACATCATTTCAGTCAGTTCCTATAATGTAAGAAATTTCAATAAAATGTTAATTTGTCTTATTATTGTTGATAATTGCCAGATTAACCTTCTTATTCTAGTTCATTTATTATTATTAAGAAAAAGATTATTATTACTATTAATTAGGCTATTTCTCATTCTGCTTAACATCTACAAAGGAACTGAACCCTTTATTAGGGGCCAAGTCATTTATAATCCTCATCTTATAGTTTGTAATATAATGATTATGCTTCTTCCTTGGGATGCTCAAATAACTTTGAAATTATTGAGGTAGAGACTCCGATGATACAACTGAGAAATATCTATCCAAAATAACAATCTTATTGGTATTTGACTATTCTCTGATGAGTAATATGATACAGAAATCTTAAGCATTATCTGGATTATTTATGATAACGGCCTCTTAGACTTCTTGTTTCAATTTACTAGACTAGAGACTGTTAATAATAACAATTTTATTCAGATTTTCTAAATACCATTATGTTATATTGAAATTGGAATCAAAGGTGATAAATGAATTGGTATAAACTTATCGTAGACATGGGATGTCTTCCCAGAATCTGTTTAACTTGATTGGCGATAACCTTAGTTTATTATTAAAATATTGCCAAATCGAAACAGATCTATCATTACTTGCTACTGCAATTAATTGATCACCTATTATTTCAATACTTGTAATGCAATCCTTGTGTTATTTGATAATCTAATCTATTTTTATAGTAAAAGTGTTGTCAATACTGATAATATAATTAAATAATATCATGGTTCCTTTCTCCATGCCAATAATGAAATAATTATAACTACCCATAGTTTGACACTGTTATACAGTATGTATTTCTTATTCCTTTTGGTCTTTGATTGTGTACTAACACTGTATGGTGATTTGATTAGTCATAATATCGAATTGCACAATGTAGATGTTATTCTAACCACAAACTGCGATAATAGGATTCAACAGAACCTTTAGATTTGCAAAACTCTATTTGCTGTTTCGTGACTCACTAATAAATGGGTTGTAGAGTAATTCCATACATTAAATATATTGCTATTCTTTACTCTGCAATTGTAATTGTGATTCTAATCTCCATAGATTGGACTCTTTCTTGTGAATCCAAACATAGATTGTGTTGCTATCTCCAGCAGTCAAGATGATATGTTAATTCTTAATGACCAAGATACAATGAGGAGTGATGATTGGCAATTGTTATTAATTATCCAAATGGTTGCGTCTGATACTAAGTTGTGCTTAGGTCATCAGATTAAATTTGGTATATCCATAGGATTAGCTTTTCAACTTGATAGACGTATTGTTGTTATTGAATTGTTGGCCCATGGCAATAATATTGTCGATTTCATTGAACACAGAATAGGAGTTTGATGATGAGGATCTGCTAATTCTAATGTTTTCAATCATCTCAGATTAAGCTATGCTTTATGCTAATGATATGCATTTAGAAAATACTTTTATTGTCATACAAATGGATATTGGAGGTCATTGAATAGTATTTGCTCCACAGCAAAGTTAGTATATTTTCTGCATATTCTATGATTTTATCTTAAAATTCCTTGTAGATATTGTGATTAAATGATTCAATAATCTATTGTTCCTTTGTAATTTACAAACTGTTTTCTATTGCCAAAACCTCGAGTTCAGGTTGCATTCTCAATAACACATTATAATATTCTTATAATGAGGTCATGTCAACCTATCTGTAATGTTCCTCAATGTGAACATTGCTTTCTTGGGCATTCAGAATTGATTTAGTCTAATCATAAGATTACTTGTATGTATTATAATGCTTATCCATTGTGTTTGTGAATTCTGTCAATTTATCTATCATGTATTCCTTTTGGAAATCTATTTAGCTGATGATTTCAGTCTTAAATGAACTACTTCTATTCTAAATGCTTAATTAAAAGGATATTATACTATTCGATTATTTTCTCGATTGCCTTGTCATAATCATTGATGATCTTCTCCTAAATTGTGTTGAAATTACTAATTATTTTGTTCATTTATTGTTAGCAATACTCAATTTATTTGGTGTCTAAGGTTGATCCCATAATAAATTACCAAAATTGGGCAAACTCAATTTATTGATGAAATGGCTTAAATTGTCAAATTATTGCAAATGATAATTTTTATTGCATTGTTTGATCTCACACTGAGTACAATAAAACGTAAGAAATTGAGGACACAATTGATTGGAACAAAAATGAGTTAGAATTTAATCTGAATGTCTAATGCAAAATTTATCAAACATATAAAAATAATTATTAAAATCATATCTCTAATATATATTTATATAAAGATAAAATGATATGTTTATTTATTCTTTAATGAAAATATCAGATCTTGTTTTATTCTTAGTTCTCTGGTTCCTTCTGTTTGTTCTCCTCATCAAATTCTAAATTTGGAACATAGGCTCCTTCCTCATTCCTCTTAATGCAATGATACCCAACCAATTTACACCATAAGAATAGATCTGCATCCAATTAAGCAGCTCCCATGTACAAGTCATTTTTGTCCAAATACAAGTACTTGTGATCCCCGAATCTCTACAATGCCAATTATAAATAATAAGTATATCCAGCTCCTACTACTATCAAAATGACAGTAATAAATAAGTTTGATCTAGTTAATAATCCCAAAAATCCTGAAATAACTGCTGATACTATCAAAACTGTGAAGAATTATTTCTTTACGACTAAAGCAATATCTTGATTTTCAGCTAAAAAAATGTAATAATTTGGATACCTATTCCCTTTTTAATTTAGAACAATAAGAAGAGAATGACAATTCCAAATACTAATTGTATTAATTCGAATTTGATTGATTCAAAATGAAGTGTAAGGTATATCATCAATAATATTTTGCTGGCTGAATGAACAATGCAAAATCCAAAATTTTTAGGAACCTAATCAATATATAAATTGTTTACTTTGTCAACGGAGCCTGGACAGAATTGAACAATTAATATGGAAACAAGGTATAGAATGATTGTCAATTATTCTAAGAATGGGATAAATGTAAGAATGGATCCGAAGAAACCAAGTTGAAGAATCAACATCGATAACAAACTTCCAGCTAGATATTAAGAGGCAGCAACAATCAACGATTTTTACTACGCAACTTGAGCTTAATTCCCAGTTAAGCCTATCATTTCTTATGCCTTAGCAATCTATTCGTCTGCTTGTCTCTCAGCTTCTTAAAGCTTTTATCCACCTTATCTATAAATTAATATATCTTCGATCATGCATACTCTTTTATCTTCTTTTCCATTTCCTCAGCTTTTTTGGCTCCTTCCAAGGCGGCTGGGATTGCTGCTTGCACAAGAGTGGTATCCTCTTCTCTTCTTTCACTCATTTATTATAAATATATAAATAAATATTTCAAAAACGAAATATGCAATTTACAGTTCAACCCTATTTCGCTTGTTCATTGTATGTGTGATAGATCTTCTCCCAATTAATTATAGTGTTCTCTACATTGTCAATAACATTCTGTAATTGTTTACCCTATAAATGTTGAACCTGTATAAAAATACATAAAATTCATTTAAACTAGCCCATAACGGTCTTACAATAACTTTAAAAAATCCCATTTCATTCTTTGCCATTATTTCTTACTTGTCTAAGTCCTTCATAAATGGTGTTGAGATGAGCTTGCGAGTTCCCTCCTCATCGAATTATGCCTAAAACTCCATATTGACTTTCTCTGACCAAGCCTTCGACAATTCAAACACCTTTGCAGCACCACTAAAATCAGAAGTATGAACAATCATTCCTGTGAACAACTTTACATCCCCATCCACCTATCCAAACACTCTCTCCTAATTTTCCTTGCCTTCCTTCACTCTTTACTCAAAATCCTTTATTAATCCAAAATGTTATTTAATATCTGTGAATAGAATGTTCTCGATAAGAGTCTATCTGAAAATTGCCAAATCCTCAGCATTCAACCCCTATAATATATTGTACTTATCCTATTTCAACAATTTCAAAGTGACTGCGGCATGATGATTTTCCAATGGCTAACAATTAAATCATATAGATTACACTCTTGTCCAAGTATCTTGTAGCCAATTTGCTTTTGCTATTGATTTCAAATTGATTCGTCCTTCCTGTATGAGAAATGTCATGACATAACCCTGAAATCACAGTTGCAAAATACACAATCTCACTTATATATTCATGTGCTCTTGGCAAAGAACATAAGAAATTACAACTCTGCATCACCGTAATGCCATGATCAAAATTATGAAATGGATTCTTCCTTTTGTTGTATTTTCTCTCGACCTCCTTAATAAATTTCATTAGAACATCCCTATTCATATCGTAATTCTCAATCCAATCATTCTTCTTAATAATATGATACACTAGTTTTGTTTTCATATTGTCCTTATACTATGCATCAATAAATTTAAAATAATTACAGAGAAAATATTAAATTCTAATTTATCAATTGTCCCATCTTAATGTAAACTATCCAAATCATCATCCTCCTCAATTTCCAATGCTGATTCTATGGACTTTATACGCAATTTAGCTGCTTACTAACGAAATGCCTTGATTGTTTTGCTCAACATTTGAATACTCAACCTTGGCTTCTTGGATGCAAAGGACTAAAATGAATTATTGGTTTCATATTATTGTTCTAAATTATCCAAAGATTTTTATTCCTCTGGTATAAACAAAGAAATGTATGAATTTTTAACACTCGGATTTGATTTTTGTAATTGGGAAATGAACTTAAATGTTTAATGCTTGTTGTATGAGCGTTGAATTTACTATTTGATTTCATCCTCCAAATGCTGCTCTTCATCATTCAAATTCTTAATGTATTCGGTCATCCTAGATCCTTCTTATAGATGGAATATTATCACGAATCCTTTATAAACTTGATCAACCACCTTCAGGAATATTTCAAAATCCTCAGTCTAAATGTACTCATTCTTCCTTTTCATTGTAAATACATCCAGGTCTATGTGCTTTAATATTCTTTTATCCAAAAACAACTCTTTATAGTATGGAGTCCTCTGATCTGGAGTAAATTAAATATTGTATTTCGATTTGAGAGTCTCCCAGATATAATGATTCAAAAATAGAAGTCTTCCATTTTTATCAAAATCAAATAGAATAGTATCTGAAGATCTTAAAAAGTACTTGTAGTATGCAATTTTCTCATGACACAATCTCAAATGTCTCAAATACTTTGATTTCAAATTCAATATTCCTGTGTAAATGTATTAATGATCCTGTCTGGTAAGATAGAACTCTTCCAAAATTAATGCAATAGGATTCCTGCATTCCATTTCAATTCTTACAGAATTATCCGAGTGTACATTCTATCGACCATTCTCAGATGAAACATGATCCTTCTTGATTTTAAAATAAGGATTCAAAGCCCTAAATATTTCATCAAATAGGATATATTTAGACGATTCAACAAAACTTAAAACTATGTCGAAAATCTAATCTGCAAATTACACTGGATTAAAATATTGCACTCTGGCTTGCAAAATTACATCAATCAAGAAATTAGTTAAGCATAAGACTTCGTCTTTGAATCTGTATTCGTTGGCCTCACTTTTTATATTATAAAGTAATGTACTTGATAAATCTTCTCAACAATTTATTTCTACATGGTTTATTCCAATAGAAAAAGAAAAATGTTTCTTATTTATTCTGATTGATGAATCTTATTAATGAAAGTTCAGTAAACTAAGAATTCAAATCCAATACTTGTTTTAATTATTCAGTTTGATTTTCATTATTCTTAAAATTATAAATAATATTCGGTTTCAAGTGTGAAAAATTCAAGAAGAATACTTACTGCTTCTCCTTCTCGATCTATTTGATAGAGTCTTTTTCTGTGGAATAAAAATCCCACTCCTCATTTCTTTTAATCAAAAAGTATATCTCTTCTGAATCTGTCAATTCTTTAATTAGTGACTTAACAACGTTTACTAAGTTATTGTAGGACAATTCCTCTTACATAAGTAAATAAAGTGTATGTAAACTACCCAAAAATAGACTCTATAATATGAATTATTTTATACTTTTAATTAAGCATAAGTTTATTTAATTTAATTCATTATTTGAATATAATATTTACATTTTAACTGAACACTAGTATCTACTTAATCAGATTTTTCATCTTAATACTCCTATATTACTCTACCACAATCACTAGCATTTCTATAACTTACAGATGATTCATTATCTAATTCTTATTCGTATTGGATTCCCAAATTCTAGTTAATTTAGTCCCTTAATTTGGATAACTTCTACACATCAGTAGGAATTAAATGTCCTCCGTTTGTCGTATGTATTGAGAGCATTGTGTCTAGCTACTCAATCAGTTGCAGAATAAAGGGACATAATGACTTTTATTGTTTAATTCAAGTAATACTTCTTATTTGGTCTCTTCTATTGTATATTCTTACTAAAATTAAATTTGTCGGGCGCTAACACTAAATTTGTTACTTTAGTTTTTATCTAAAATTTTGATATGAGGTAATAAGACTTTGTTCTATCTGTGGTTTGAATACTAAACTAATCTATCACGAAATTATTATTCCCTAAATTGGATATTCTGTATTTATTTTACATGTCTTTACTCCCGTATTTGCTAACAATCTCCATTAGGTTTTTCTCTTTTCTTAAAATGCCTTATTCTAATTCAGTTTTTTACTGTTTATTAATAACCATGTCACTCACCATACTGTTGATAGTTATAAAAAATTAGGTATATTGAGGAAGCCTCAGTTCCATTAATTTCTAATACAATATTATATATATAAATAATATCAAATCTATTTGGATTCATTATCCTATAGTCATTTGTGTGCTTCTCCTCTTCAATATACTACTTTTGTAGGCAGGTACTAGAATTGGCACCTAAACCATTTTCCCTATTATTGGATCATAGACTTCCAAACTTTGTCTTTTCTATGACGCTTCTAAATGTCATATACACACTGAGTTACATGTATTTGCATTTGCTGAGTATCGAGTTTTCACTAATTTGGGATTAGGTTATTTTTATTAGCAACAGCCCATCTAATTTACTATTTTTAAATTTAATATTAAAGCTGAATCTGCTCGAATCTCTTAATGTATTAATTTTAATATTTGATCATAAATACCAGTGCTATTTGTTTTTATTAATTCACTCAATAAAACCTATACTTTAGTCAAATTTAAATTTTCCATTTTCATTTAACAGTTAATTATGAATTCATTTATTGAGCTAGTAACATCAAGTTCTCAGTATAACATCCAAGGAACAATCATATTATTTATTATTTTCACATAGACTACTCTTTGTAACCTTCTTTTATCACAGTAATTACATAATAATCATTAGTATCCAATATTTGATCAAAAACAAAAAGAACTCAAAGTAAATAATATCTATATAATAATATGTTATTTCGTTTGTTTAATTTAATGAAATAAGGTGCGAGGGTTTCCCCTCACTAGCAGAAATTGAGCGATAAAGCCTTTCCAAACGGAAAGTTTTGGGGCCTCACTGACGCCGGTTGTGCGATGGCCAGCTTAACCCCACACTACTGATCTACATGATCATCAGCAGTGCTCGCCAGGTAAGTGAAATTTGGATATAAAAAAATTGTCTTATATAACTTTATTAAAAATAAAATATTATGGGTTTATTAAGATAAATTGATTTAATTTAACTTGAATAATTATAATTGTGTAATAAATTTATTTGTTTATTAATATTATTAAATTGTCAAATTAAGAAAAGACACTAATATGATAGATTAAAACCATTATTCGTTGCTATTAAAAGAATGATTCAAAAGAAAGACATTCAATAAAATTAGCTTGGAATAAATTAACAATGTTATATGCGAATATCAATAATTAAATAGAATTAACTCTGTTTATATAAAAGAGCATTATGATATTATGATAAGAATAGATGAGAACAAATTAATAATTAATGAGAGTAAATTTTAAAAGAATTGATAATTCAAGAACATATTACATGATGAATCAGATATCTATATACCTTTATATTAAGATTTCTATTTGGAATACGGATAGTTTTCCTTCTGCAATTAAGTGCACTCATAGCAATTGAGAAATAAATAAAGTTCTTAAATGATAATTAATGTTATTTCCAAAATCTAATGATTTTGAACTTACAAATATACCTGACTGGAATTATCAAAGATAAATCGTTGGGCAGAGCTTCCTTAATTTTTCTTTCATATAAAAGAAATTATTCAAGTAATTGAGATGATTAATTTGAAAAAGAATTAATTCTGAAAAAATTCCTTAAGCTCATAGCTCCTTAGCCAAAAAACAAAAATTGCAGTAAATTGCTATTTAAGTGTAATCCTTTGAGCTTTTGTAAATTAAAATAAGAATTTTTGTTCATCTTCATTATATCTTAGAACATGTTAATTTAAATAAACTAATGATCTTGTAATTTTGTATTAAGAATAAATTATATATATCTTATATTTATGTACTATCAATTTATCTTTATATATCATCTTCCTCCTATGATTTATGGTTGTTTTTGTAAAAATTAAGGCTGCATTAATGGTTAGGTCATTTATTGAGCCAACTATATTAAATAATATTAAATACCAATTAATCGAATTAAGGAACAGGTTATTATTATTATTATGGTTATTACAAGAATCCATTTTATTATTATTGCACTTATTATTAAAGTTATGGAATTTATTGCTGAACTTATTATTAAGGAATCTATTAATAAGTTTATTATTGTATATTTTAAAATTGAACTTGTTAAGGAATCTATTGCTACACTGACTATTGCGGAATACCTTAAAATTACTATTAGCTCTAAGTAAGTGTCGAAGGAATTTATTATTATTAAAATTAAGGTATCTATTAATGAATTTAGGATTATCCCATTTGTTAAGGCTAAGCTTACGGTATTTATTGCTAATTTAATAATTACTACTATTGCTAAAGAAGTTACTATTGATTTAATTATTAAGGAATTTATTGCTAATTCAATTACTATTATTAGAGGATTTATTGTTAAAGTAATATTTAAGGGTTTATTATAGGTTATGTGATTGGCTGAGTATAAGCAAGTGTCTATTAAAATGGAACCTGAAACTATTATGTTTAGGCATTATCATTCTTTACGATAGTTGGACTAGATTAGAATGATAATGGATTCAACATTTACTATTAAAGTAGTTGTTATTGGATTTATTGTTATTACTATTGCAGCTACATCATGTAAACCAGTTGTGCCTATTATTGAGGAGTCAGAAAATTAGGATCTACAACTTATGGAAAAAGAGATGGTACAAATACTCCTTAACCCTGCTGCAACATGGATATTTGTTAAGTCAACTAATTTTATTTTTCCATGAATTGCTTGATCAAAAGTTCTTGAGCTTGTAGTCTTTAATCGTACTATGATAATTAATCAACTTGTTAGGTTTGAGGTATATATTAATTTAAATTACTTTAAGTTCCTACCTATAGAAAACTGAAGTCTTTCCCATGAGCCTTTGTCTTTTTGACAATAAATTCAACTTCCTCTCCTTCCCCTTCTCCTTCACCGCCTTCTCCACTGCCTTCAGCTTCACATGCTCCACCTTCTGCTTCTTCACCTCCTCCTTCTCCTCCTTCTTCCTCTTCTTAAGCTGCTTCTGCAGGTGAAAAACTGCATTTGCAAACCAAGTTCTCAAAAAATTCTGGACCTTAAACCTACACAAGTTGCATGGGATGCTATGTGTTGATTCCTCTTTATTTGATTTTGATTTGCTATTATACAAATGAATAAAATTCTTAAGTTCTTTCTTCCTCTTATACACGTAATCTCACATTCAATGATGGATGCCATGGTTTATATCCTTTTGGTTATGTTTTTAACAGATCAGATAAGGCATCATCAACCGTTATGTAACTAAAAAGCTCTAATAATTTTTAGTCATAAATACTAAGTGCTTTGGCTAAGAGTTCCTACTAATAACAACAAAATAAGCATTTTAATAAAATTAATAAAACGGATTTATAATTAATTATAAATTTTAAGTACCCAAACTCATAAGCTGACGATAATGATAAAATTATTATCTAGAATGAGAAGTTACCATTTTCATAACTTTAGTAATTTGAAATAATATATGGTTGTAACATTTGTTATAAAATGATTGTTCATGATTTATGTGTTATTTTATACATTGATGGTATATATCTTTAAAGAAGAGCTTGGAAAAAGAATCCAAAAAAAGATGTGACAATGACAACTGTTAAAACAACCCAATTGAATCCTTAGAAACTAAATTAACAATTATTATAAATTTTTACGTATCCTCTTTAATATTGATTACATCACACCAAGTAGCTCTTTGAGGGAATATAAAGGATACAATAGCAACAACAAAACCAAGGGTGGTCCATAATGTTAGTAAGATGTTTTTATAGTATTTGACTTTAAAAGGATTTGATACGTATATAGATACTCCAAAAGACATGAAGTAATACATTAAGCTTAGAAACATGATTGAATTTAAGTATCCTTCTCTTTAAAATTTTTCAATAGGTTTAGAATATTCAAAGAATCTATCTGTTGTAGTGAGGATGCCATAATTAATACATAGGCTAAATTGTATAATTTAGTATGTTACCCTAAAACTGCAAAGAAAATGTTTGTATAGATTTGAATTTGATTTTAATAAGAGAATTGATCATCTAATGGTATATATTCTGCTAATTCAGTAGTAGGGGAAGAAATGCAAAGGAATATCAACAAGGGAATATTAGAGATGAATCCAACGTAAACGGTTTAAAATTCAGCTATAACAATAAAGATTAAAACTTACAAAAATTTTATACTTCTAAAAACATAATGGTGACAGCAGCAAATTTAATTCCATTAACACTAAGTTGATATTAGAAAACTTCAATGATAGTCATTATGGCTGCTTTTCCTTAAGCTAAAACTTAAACACAACATTTTAATGAGGTAGATTTCGAACTAAATGGTGCCGTATAAGAAGCATCAGATTCACTAAATGAGATTCCAACTTGCGCCTAAGCTATAGCAGACTATTTGATAAAAAAATAATTATTGTACACAATCATTAGCACCATCTCCGGTCATCATGACCTATCTTCCCATTTCTTAGAGCATAGCTACAATTTATTTTTTTTGTTCAGGCTTTTGTCTTGCAAAAACTCTAGTCTTAGAGATTAATTTCATTGTAGTTTCTTTCATTCTTATATCATCAAATTCAATAACATTATTTTCTGTGAAGATTTGATTTGATGAATTATTTTATGTCATACTTAAACTCGTATCTCTATTTGGATTGACAACAGTTAAAAATTTAGATATAAATTCCAAGAATTTCCCAGTTAATGCTGTCATTTTAGGATTTCTAATAATTTCTTCGATGATATTTTAGTTCTCAATGACATTCTCATCATAATTAGTTTGAGTATCATTATCAAAGATTACTATTTATCTTTTGGATGAATTATAATCTAAAATCACGACCTCAGAGTTTAAATCAATGATTCCAGATATTTTAGCACAATAAATAGTAGTTAAAGGACTATCACCTGAAATCACTTTGATATCCAATCCACTGTTTCTTAAAGTTTAGATTACTTAAGGAGTATCATCTTTGAGTGGATTTTCTAAAACAAACATTCCAACAATATTCAATTATGTTTCCAATTCTTCTCTTTGTAGATCCAATTGATTTTTACTTAATTTGCGATAACCCAATCCCAAGACTCTGAATCCATTTGATGCGTATTTTTTCACTTCATCTAAAACTACTTACTTTTTGTCTTGAGATTACTGATTAATCATTTCAGGAGATCCTTTAGAAAATAAATAGAAATTAGATCCATCCGTTGCTATGACACTCATCATTTACCTTGCTGAACTAAAGTCAAAGATCTTAATGATTTCAAATTCTTATTAATCTTTTTTAACTGAAAAGAATGATTTGCCTTCAAAATTAATCTTCCAACCAATAAAGCTCAGCATTTCTATTTCCAAAGGATCACCTTGCAACTCTCCATTAATTAAAAGAAGATGATGACAACATGCTAAAATATAATTAGCAATTTATTCCTATTAAATATCAATATATAAAATTACTAATGATTGATCATGAGTCCAAACTTTGATTGCTTTCAGTCCTAGAGTAGTAAGCGTTCCTGTTTTATCAAAACAACAAGTATCAATACGTCCGGCAGACTCAATCTTATCTGCATTACTACCATTAATGCCAATTGAACTCAGTCGAACTAAACTAGCTGTCTTACAAATATTGAAAAAGATAGGCATTGATGGAGGTATCGACCAAACAATATTATCAAGGAATCTTAATACTAATAGACTTGTTTTAAATTCCATTGGGATATATTTTATTAACATAAAACCATAGACTATAGCTATTATTGTTGCAAATGATAAAATAAACTTAGCAGCTTGGATATAAAATCTTTATGAAGGAGGTGCTGGGAATAGCACATTTCTAAAATATTAACCCCTCAAAGAACTAAATCCAGTTCTAAGCACTATTGCCACATTCTCAGTTGTTGAATTCACTTTCACTATACTAGTTCCTTCGAATAGACAATGTTGATTTAATGATTCAAAATTGAATTTGACTGAATGATCAGGCAAGGCTGTCTTTGGTATTGGAACATTTTCTCCTGTCAATGTTGCCTCATTTACCATGACATCTCCTTAAAGAATAGCACAATCGCAGTTCAATTATTATCCTTCCTATAATATTATGTAATCTCCTGGTAGCAATTCAGACCCATTGACAGTTCTTAAAGTGTCACTCTTCAAAATTACATTCTGATGGATATTAGCTAATTTCTATAAGAGACTCCTTGATCTTCTATAAAGGATATAATTGACTATAACTGCAATTGCAGTGAATGCCAATATTAAAATTGGAAATGTTATTGAATTTTGAGCAAACCATACAGCAACAGCAAAATATTGGAGAATATTAAATGGGCCCGTTAAGTGCTCGAATAAAAACTCTGCTAGGGGCTAAATGGGAATTTAGAGTTGGCATTTCCCATAATATTATATTTCTTAATTTTGAGTTAAAACATTACGATTTGCTACTATATCTTTGATTATCCTGCCATCAGTTTCAAATTCAATTGGTTGATAACTCTGAGATTTCGGATCAAATGCATATTTAAGAAGTCTAAATTCAAAAGCCATACTACCTGAATGTAAAGTAATAAATGCCATTCATCTACTGCTTTTCTAATGTAAATTGTTGACCATTCTATGTATCTACTCGATAATGTGTTCCAGTTTCTTCGACATTACAAGGAGTAAATAGAAACCAGTTATACAATTTCTTACTCCATCTCAATGCTAATGCAAACATAAAGCCTGTCATTATTGAAATAATAATCTAAATTCAGTTATAAACAATTACAGTCAAAACAAGTCTGATTCTAAGGAATCTGACCGGAGTAACTTTGAGAAGTGGATGTTGTCCCTCTATTTCCGCATTGTTAACACGATAAGACATAGTAAATATTTGAAAAGTTAAATATATTTATTAATAATGTTAACTTAAAAATATTATCATTATACATTTAAAATATTTTTATAATTCACAAGATATTTAATACTTTAATTGCTCCAACCAGTAAATATTTATTGGATTCTAGCTAAATATAAATTCATATTTCATAATCCCCAATATGTATTGTGAATATATCAGAATCTCATGATTTTTATCAAAATTATAACTTAATAGTTTGTATTTTCCCTCTATATCTGATCCTTATTTGAGATGTTTGATTGTATGAAATAATTAAAATTTTAATAGACATTTTTTTAAATTATTTTTATCACTAGAAAAGGAGATTATTTTGTCTTTCAGGTAATATAATTAACAAGTTATGTTTCTTCAAAATTGATTGACTATCTCAGAATAAAGAAAAAATATTCTAAAAATATTATTTGTTTTTTAGGAGATTATTTAATAAATCAAAAAATTACTTCTGATTATTATTTTTAAGAATCAAAGTACTCTAATTTACTGTTAATTTATTTTTATTGTTGTTTGCATTTCCAGCTATATTAAAGGATAATTTCAAATATATTAGTTAATTAATAAAAAAATGTTTTCCTTCTTATGGTTCTTATGATTAGAATCATCCACTTTTGGCATGGCAATATATAGCTTTTAGGGTTTCTTAAATAAGCTCTGTCTATTACTTCAATTTCTATTGATTCTCTTTCTTTTTTAAAAGGCCTCCAGTATTTACAAATAAACAATCATCGACGAGAAGCAGAAAATATTCTGATTTAAGATCAAGATATTAAAATAATTAAATTTTGAGACACTAAAGATCAAGGAAACCGAATAAAAGATCTAGGTCAATAACTAAAATAAAACTCATTATATTATACATTTAATAAATTTAGCAAATTTATAATTCTTAAATTATTATTATTATTATTATTATTATTATTATTATTATTATTATTTATATTATTATTAGTATTATTTAACCCATTCAGAGAATAATACACACTAATAATTAATTTCATTATTTGCTCAGTTTTCTTTGTAGTTCTTCTTCGAATCCAAAATTAACTGCTCAATGATTTCAATATTTTACTTTCATCTTTGTTTTACAATTCGCCTAGCCAATGATAAAAGCTATCTTTAATTTCAAATTTAGATGCTATAATTAATTTTTTAATAGATAAGTCTATCTGTTTCATGACATTTTTTGTGTTTGAGTTTTGAGTTTGATTATTTTTTGGTTTTATTTATTGTTCTTTTGTTTAAGTGGGGAAATTTTCCATACTTCTAATAGAGAGCTAAAGATTAATTATTTCTATCACCCATATATGTAAATTCCTGTTTTTTAATGATACATGATGATGAATTTTGCATATTTTGACTTATTAAGTACAAAATTGTTTTATTCCGTTTTCCTTTTTCTAGTTTTTTTTATCACAATTAAATAGTCTTTCATTATTAAGGTTAAAAGAGCTTAAGCAATTTCATCTCTTAGTGGTTTTTAATCAATACCTAAAATTTATGAAATAATGATATATTTGGATTTACCTAAATCTTTTGTAAATTCTTTTTGTCTATTACTTATTATAATTCGAATTTTATTTTTTCCATCTTCTTATTTATGATTTCTTCTTCACTTAACATTTTTAACCAAATTGTTCAATCGTAACTTTCAGCATATTTGCAACTTCCACTTGTCAATTAGTTGTATTATTTAGATTTGTTTAGATGAGTTAATCATTGACTTTTTTTGCTGAATTTGTCAGCTATTATATTATGTTATTTAATTTGGATGCAATATTATCCATTAATAAAACTTGTTTTTATTCTTAAACTTATTAATGACAAAAAAATCTAACATTTAATAATATTTATGTAAAGTTTAATCATTTCTTGATTAATTCAATCTTTGATACTTTAAATACACTTTCCTTTTAAGCATATATCTAATTATTCAGTCTTAGAACAGTAGTTAAAATAAATTTAACATTAAATAATGATAAGATAAATTTTAAAATCAAAGACAGATTTGAGATTCAAATTAAAGTATTATTATGATAATATCATTATTATTAATACTAAAATATATATCTATAATTTGATATCTACAATATAGTACATTATGGGCTTATTTAATACCTATAAGGAAATTGGAAAAATCATAAATATTTTAATTTTTTAAAATCATAATTATTTATTAGATATAAATAATGTATTAAATATCGAATTTCAACGCGTTACTTCAAACATAATATTCCTAATTGCTCCTTTAAATTAAGATTTTTTTGGTTTGATTAATTTATAGATCGATTTAAGTTTACAATAAAATTGATAAACACAATTAAATAAAGGACCTAATAATCCCAACATTAAACAACCTATTTATAAAAAACCCATTCTAATTATTTAATCAGGAGTAAAATGATTATTAAAATCTTTACAAAAAGATAAATTAATTAATGTAAATAATATTACCGGAACCTCTACGCATAAGATATTCATCAAGTCTAAGCCAGTATTTGCAATTTTAAGAATTAATAAAAACACTATATATGCACAAGTAGAAAAAGAGAGCATTATGCATTATGCTATATAGCTTTCTTGCATTCTAATTAAAATTAACACAAAGATAAACTTTTTTAATAAAATAATTGACTAATGCTGTTAATTTCTTAGTTTTTTGAAATCTAAGTTATTATTGGGTATTCCAAAATTTCTCAATACAATACATATTCCTATTATAAAATATATCAGACAAACTAAATAAGAGACCAAAGTTCTAATTCCTGATTATTTATTAAAGGTTAAATACAATAAAACCTTGAAATTTAAATCCCAAGCATTAGCATAATAACAATCTATTATTAAATTTACAGTGTCAAAATTTTAATAATTCTTTATGTAGTAATTAAATTAATATAGTTTTATTGCAAGCCACTCAACTGCTTTTGACTTCCTTTTTCTGATAAAATACATGAAATATGAAGTAAAACAAAATTTTAAGCAAAACTTTAGATACATTTTCAGAATCACCAATAATGAAAAGAATACAATGACCTACATAAATTAACTATAAATATTAGTTATTAAATCAGCATTAGTTTTGTACTGATCAAACTTCCCAAAACCTTCAATTATATTAATCCCTAACTAATCTTCAAAATTATCTTTAATTCCCAAAAATTATAAAATTGGATCCACTGATATCAATTCAGAAGATTAAAAATAAATATAAAGATTTTCTGGATATTCTACATTTATAAACTTCAAGTATGAATAAAATTATAATATATCTAAGATTTCTAAAAATTATTAGGGAGAACCAAGAAGGAATGCAAAAATAGCGAAACTCCCTAATGCAAGCATAATATTGTAACCAAATTTTTAGAAATTCTGAGAAGCTTCTATTTATGCTTGATTTAAAACTAAAGGGGCGATTAATACAATTTATTATGATGATGGTGGTACTAGTAAATCGTTTTCATCCAATAAAATAAGATCGACCTTAACTTCCAAAATTGGATTTTATGAGAGTTGTTAGTTAATTTGAATTTTTAATTCATAATTGATATTTCGAGTCACATTTGAGACTATTTCGATTACAGGAAAAATACTTATGTTATAATAAGTAGGATCTATGTTAATTGAATTAAAATTAAAATCTAAAAAGTTGACATCTTATTAATTCAATTTAACTTTATTATTATATGATAATTTCACATATTGTGTGTTAAAAGTTGAATTCAAAAATACAATCGAAATTTTAGCAATAGGGAAACATTAACTTAAAAATGATAAGGAGTCGATGCAATTCCAATCCTCTTCAATTTTACATTAATTTGAACATCCATCAGAATTGATCCTGTTTCCATCTTCACATTCTTCATCTTTAGTTATAATCCCATTTCCACATGAGAAACACTTGTTATTTTCCAAAATATAATCTTGTTTACATCGGAGGCAATTAGCCCCATCGCAAACTAAGCAATGATTCTTGCATTCAGATTGATTTGGATCAATTTCTTCACTTTTAATTAGAACTATTGGAATACATTTACCATTTATAAATTCTTCATCAACTTTACACACATCTTAACATTTGCCAGATTCACAAATTTTACAGCCAAAATTACATTAAAATTAACATTCAAAACAGCCATCATATTTAATATCATTTCCATCATCACATTCCTCTAATCCACTTATAACTATTTTATCTCCACATATTGGTGCGCATAAATGATGTACCAGCTTGAAATTTGATTCACATATGAGACAATTTAATTCCTTATTGCAAAATTAGCAATAAGGTCCACATTAAAATAAACATTCATTGCACCCATCCTCAATAAAATAATTACCATCGTCACATTATTCATTTGAGGTTAATGCTACTTAATTATCTCCACAAATCTGCTAGCATTTATGTTCAATCAACTGCCATCCTTCAAGACAAGCATAGCATTTATCTAAAATACATACTAAACATTCTGATGAGCAGTTTTATATACAATTATTACAATCATTATTTTATAAACTAACTAAATCTTTACAATTACACATTTCAACACATTATCTTGTGTTGGGCGAAAATTTATAACCATCTCTACATTCAGTTAAACTATTTGATTAATAATCTTAAATAATTAAAGAATCTGGAAAATAACAAACCGAAAAACTTTAAATTATGTTTAATCCATGATAATTATTTTAAAGTAGATTATACTATAAAGAAAATTAGAGTATTGATTGTTATTGAGAGTTAGGTTAACATTAAAAGCCATTTTT